GGAAGGAAGGAAGGAAGGAAGGAAGGAAGGAAGGAAGGAAGGAAGGAAGGAAGGAAGGAAGGAAGGAAGGAAGGAAGGAAGGGTTTCTCAAAGCACATGAGACAAGTGGAGAAATCTTCTTTTGGTAACAAATGAATATTTTCTTTATTGAATCAACAATGAACAAATATAATATTTGACATTTGCTAGTGGCTGTGGATTTTCCCTCGTTTCCTAAAAATTACATTTTCCTACATGTGCTTACAGCATTAAGACTCAGAAATCTGCATCCCATTATTGAAATTTATCAAGGATCAGAGTGGAGGTCCTGGTCTTCTTATGTTTCTTGCCTAAACTTTTTGAGTTGTTGGTTAATATATAATGGTTAATAGTGTCTAAACCTGGGCTATACAGTTAGTGTATCCATATGTGAACCATATTTAAATGGAAGCAGTTCAAGAGGTAAAACTACTTAGTTTGAAAAATATGTGTTTGACAGGTCTCATAATCTCCTGAGGTAATTTGGAGGAAATTTGCGCTGTTGATCCAGAGCAAGTGAAGAATCATCTCAAAGGTGCTTTTTCAAAAGGCAACTGGACTTTGTTTTTCCTTAAAGATGTTTCACTTCTCAGCCAAGAAACTTTTTCAGTTCTGATCTGAACTTTTGAAAAAGCACCAATGGGACATCCTTGACTTGTATGACTGAGAATCTCCAAACATATGAGAACATATGAAAAACATTATCTGCAACATCAGTTCTTCCCCCAGCAGCCTGGATCCCTGGTCTTCTTGGTTGGTGAAGGCTCTAGACAGGTAACAGGAGGCTGGATCAGGGCAATAGTGATGGTATCCTTAGGGGTGCACCTATCAAACCTGCCTCGAAGGAGAGAGTGGTACACTTGCTCCTCAAGAAACCATCATTCTTCCTGGCAACTTTGGACAACTGTTGCCCATTCTCCAACCTCCCCTTCTTGGGGAAGATTCTTGAGGAGCTGAGCTCTGCAGGAAACAGATCTTCTGGACACTTTTCATACTTCTTCCAGGGCATATTTCACAACATATAATTATCTCATCACTTCTTTAAAGATCTTTTATATGGAAAAGCAAATATAGCATTTTAAATAAATTAATACAATGACAAGGCTTCTCTTATGCCTGCCAGGCATTTTGGCATTCCTGGTTTACCACTGTTGATACTTAATAAATGATCAGCCCCATTTGTTGGTCTGCCCCACTTTTTCTGGCAGAAGTGACTTGCTATGGACCTGTTTCTCAGGAAATTTCAGCAGGCAGGGTCTAGGACAGTGGTTCTCAACCTTTTTAATGCCGCGACCACAACCAGTCGTACGTTGAGGACTACTCAACCAGTCATAAGTCGAGGACTACTCAACTGGTGCAGCACCGTTTGCAGAATGGGACTTTTGGCGGGCTCAGCAGGGCAGAGACAGCCTGGACAATTCCTATTGGCTTTTGAAAGCCAATAGAATTAGACTCTATTCAAGAGAGTCTATTCTATTGGCTTTCAAAAGCGGACTGCGTTGTTTGGCGACCTCCGTGAAATGGTCATTTGACCCCAAATGGGGTCCCGACCCACAGGTTGAGAACCACTGGTCTAGGATAAGAGCCTTTTCTGCCATCGCCTTTTGGGACATCTTGTTGAGAGAATGAGATCCATCCCAAGTCTACTGGCCTTCCATAACAGCCTCAAAACTTGGCTCTGATGAGGCATTTTATGTTGGAGGTGGTGGGTGTAATAATAATAATAATAATAATAATAAAGTTGAAAGGGACCTTGGAGGTCATTTAGTCCAACTCCCTGCTCAGGCAGGAAACCCTATACCATTTCAGACAAATGGCTGTCCAGTCTCTTCTTTAAAACTTCCAGTGTTGGAGCATTCACAGCTTCTGGAGACAGGTTGTTCCACTGGTTAATTGTTCTAACCGTCAGGAAATTTCTCCTTAGTTCTAGGTTTCTTCTCTCCTTGATTAGTTTCCATCCATTGCTTCTTGTCCTGCCTTCAGGCACTTTGGAAAATAGCTTGATTCCCTCTTCTTTGTGGAAGCCCCTGAGATATTGGAATACTGCTATCATGTCCCCCCTCGTCCTTCTCTTCATTAAACTTGACATACCCAATTCCAGCAACCATTCCTTATATGTTTTAGCCTCCAGACCTCTAATCATCTTTGTTGCTCTTCTCTATACTTTTTCTAGAGTCTCAACATCTTTTTTATATCGTGGTGACCAAAACTAGATGCAGTATTCCAAGTGTGGCCTTACCAAGGTATTGTAAAGTGGTATTAATACTTCACGTGATCTTGATTCTATCCCTCTGTTAATGCAGCCTAACTCTGTGTTGGCTTTTTTGGCAGCTGCAGCACACTGCTGGCTCATATCTAAGTGATTGTCCACTAGGACTCCGAGATCCCTCTCACAGTTGCTACTATTGAACAAGGTTCCACCTATACTATACATGTACATTTGGTTTTTCTTGCCTAAATGTAGAACCTTACTTTTTTCACCATTGAATTTCATTTTGTTAGAAAGCGCCCAGTATTCCAGTTTGTTCCGATCCTCCTGTATTTTAGGCCTATAATCTGGAGTGTTGGCTATTCCTGCCAGCTTAGTATCATCTGCAAATTTGATGAGTTCCCTGTCTGTCCCCTTGTCCAAATCATTGACGATGATGTTGAAGAGCACTGGGTCTAGAACAGAGCCCTGGGGCACCCTACTGCACACTTCCCTCCATGTAGATGCAGTTTCATTGAAGACCACATGCCTGAGTACAGCCAGTCAGCCAGCTACGAATCCATCTAGTGGTGATGCTGTCTAACCAACATTTTTCTATCTTATTAAGTAGTAGGTTGTGATCTACTTTATCAAATGCCTTACTGAAGTCCAAGTAAATTATATCCATAACATTCCTCTGGTCCACTAATTTTGTCACTTGGTCAAAGAATGCAATAAGATTTGTCTGGCATGACCTGTTTTTGACAAACCCATGTTGCTCCTAGGTGTTCACTGATTTGTTGTTTGATTATCTTTTCTAGAATCTTCCCAGGTACTGAGGTCAGGCTGATAGGTCTGTAGTTTCCTGGATCTATTTTTTCCTTTTTTTGAAGATGGGAACTACATCAGCTCTTTTCCAGTCCTCTGGTAGTTCCCCAGTGTTCCAGGTTCTTTGAAAAATATAGTTCAGTGGTTCTGAGATCACATCTGCCAGTTCCTTGAGAACTTTGGGGTGTAATCCATCTGGTCCTGGTGATTTGAACTCGTCTAGACTGGATAGATGCTCACTTACCATTTTCTTGCCTATTTTAGCTTGTGTTTCTAATCTATTTTTTAAGGTACTGTTTTTGATAGGTTGAACTGTTTTTTCCCTTTGTGTAAAGACAGATGCAAAAAATGAGTTAAATAGTTCTGCTTTCTCCCTGTTGCTTGTCACCTTCTTGCCACTTTCCCCCACTAATGGACCAATCATTTCCTTAACTTTTTTCTTGTTTTTTACATGTTGAAAGAAGTTTTTTTTTTTTTGTTATTTTTGACTTTGGTCACAAGCCTTAGTTCATTTTGAGCCTTAGCTTTCCTCACTTCATCTTTGCAGGCTCGGATTATTTGCTGATATTCTGTTTTAGTTATGTGTCCATCTTTTCCCTTTTTATACTTGTCCTTTTTATCTTTCAATTTATCAGAGAGTTTTTTATGCAGCCATGCTGGTTTCTTTTGAGAGCTGTTATTTTTCTCCTTTTCTTCTTTGTTGGTATTGTGTTTAGTTTTTATTCAACTCTTGTAATTTTAATTGTTTTTATATTTGTGTTTTATTGTATTGTAAGCTGCCCCGTCACTTTGGATGGATGCCATATAAACTGATCTCTAATTCATAAAAATTGTTAAAAAAAAATAAAGCACCAAGCAATATAAACTGCAAGGTGAGGATAAGAGGAGCAGGTTAAATGATGAGTTAATAGAACTGAATCCTTTCATTCTAATAGTCTAGAAAAGCATAAGGATCTTAAGTGAAATGCTGCTTTTCTTATGCCAACTTGCTCCTCCCCACTGAAATGGCTAAACTGGCCTGAAATTCAAAGTATTTGGGAAGTGCCTGTATTTATCTGAATTTGGCTTTGAATTTTCCATTAAGTTAATGGTATGTGTTAAATAAAAACAATTGGCTAGATATGTGCATCATATTAAAACATTAATTAAAAAACATAATGGTTGAGTTCACACCACATGTTAAGTTAAAAAGCAAAGGGAAATACCTTATGGCATAATGTTAAATTATCTGTAGATTTCTTGAGATTTATTCGCTCGGTTTATCTGTAAGGCAAAGTTCAGTTACTTAAAACCCAGCCAAGCTAAATTTAAAAATATTTCAATTCAGGAAGGATATACTTTTCACTGAGACATGCACACTTTTCCTATGCATTACGTGCATAAAATTTACTTTTCATGATTTCAGAATAATGATGCTGTTGAAGGGACTGCATGCTACTCACTAAAATGAAAACTTGAAAAGAAAAAAAAGAGTAAAACTTATTCAAATACTGACATCTGCTGGTCAAAGGCATGCCTTACTTTCTTTGGCTGGTATGGTATGATATAGTACCGTATATCCTGAAGATTAAGAGGTGTACATGGGAGAAGATTCCCAATTCCTTCTGAAAATAAGTGAGTCAAAAGAAATAGTATCTGCAAATCACCCAATAAGCTCTTTGAGAGAACCGCATGAACTACAAGACAAAGATTTCATCAGAATCCTGAAATGCTGTTGTCAACCATTGGAATTGAGATTCAAATATATCTTACTATATTTCTTCATTGCAGAAATTCCCCAATTTCCCTGAAATCTGCAGTAAGGGTGCACCTCCTGAAATCTTTGGAGATCCCTGCCAATCAACACATATAACAACGAAACAGTGATTGGCCATGCTAGCCCTAGAGAGCAACAAGCACAAGCTATAGGCCGAGTTGTAACCACCGTGCAAATGTTGAATGTTTGTAAAAGAAGTCCATTGACATCTGTAAAATATCTTTTAATCTAAAATAGCACTTCATACAGAAACTGAAATTGTAGACTGAGGGGATAAAACTAGGTGAAAACAAATGTATCTTTAAAAACTGCAGACAGTGGAAATAAGGTGACAAAAACATACTCTGTTCATTTGTGGATGATAAAAACAGAACATAATTTAAAAATGCATATTAAACAATGTCAAGGTTTAAATGTCTTAATGTATTAAATTGCATTCCAATGTACCCTTTATTTTGGCTGTTCTTTATTTTCTCACATTTCACAGACATTCTTCATACAAAAGTTTTAAGTGTCAAAAGAAATAATCTTCTACACTCAAGCGAGATGAGGAAAAGATTATAGCAGTTCTCTCTTTTGTACACATTTACATTTAAAGCCTCTCAGAAAGAATTCCAGTAAGTAGTTACCGGTAGTGATGAGATTCTGAATGTTTATTTACTATGATTTTTTTCCTCCCTCTGGCAATAGAGTCAAAATAAAAGGAGTTGCATTGTTTCCCTGTTGAATCATTTCTAGAAATGGAAGCTCCTTTTTCTTTCAACCCACAAAGAAGTTTAAAGAGACAATTAGAAAACAGCCCTTGCAAGTATGTTTGGAAACTCCATGGAATTCAAGATGTATACAGTAAGTTTCTGGTTTAAATGAAGATGAGTTTTGTTTTGCATAAACTATGTACAGTCAGCTAATTGTCCTTTCATGGTTTCAATCATCCTTGTCAGCCACACATTTATCTCCAAGGTTTATTACAAACAAGAGAATCAATCTTTTAAGGTGTCTAAAACAGGTAAGAAAGAAGGCCTCACTTTCAATTGTGATAGGTACATCAGCTTAACAAAAGTCAGTATTGCTGACTGTTGTGACAATTTACTGTTGACAGATTGTGACAATCGAGGTTTAATCAGAGATGGGAAATCTTCATGTAAGCTACACATAGTATTTCTCATTAAGGAAATGCATCAGGATTTTAAAATAGATACATTTATCTTATTACTATGACAATATTTGTTATATGCAGGTGGGCTTGAATTCATCTGCCTCATTACAAATATATTTGCCATAGATACAGATAAAATAAGATCTTGTGAATGTATATAAAATTAACAAATGATAATTAAGTATAAGTTATTCAAATCTATTATTACATAATGTTTTTCTTTATGCCTAAAGAGATTTAAAAATAAATTAAAGTGAAAATGTTTTATGTCCAGTTATTTAAAATAATATAATTTCTATTGCATAATTTGGTTTATATTAGTTCTTAAATCTTCATGATAGGATGTATGGCTACATATACCAGAATTAAAATATAATCCTAATAACATTTAAAAAAAATACAGAAAATACTATTGATCAGGAATTGCATCATTAAGCATTACAGAAATCATTAAATTCTAAGCCAATAATAATGTTTCCAAAAAAAAAAGAGTTGCTAATATTATCAATCAAATGCTTTGTGGTGTTAGTCCAACATTCCCTTTTTAGTGGACTTTCTGAGGTAAGAAATGGATGCAAGATTACAAAAATGTAAGGTAGTTACAGACTAAGGCAGAGGTCTCCAACCTTTTTGGTTTGGTGGTCTGGAAAGGAAGGCAGGAACCGCTACGTGTGCACGTGCAAATGGGCCATGTGTGTGTATGCACGCAAAATTTCCCCCCACACATGCATGCGCACATGCAAATGGGGCTGCTCAGGTGTGAGTGCTGCAAATGGGGTGGCGCTAGTGCCAGTGAGACACTCTGGGGTGGGGCTGTGCTAGTGCTGGTGATGCTCAGGGCAGCACTAGTACCAGAGGGATGCTTGGGCCAGCGCTAGTGTTGGTGGGGCACCCAGGGGCAGGGTAGTGCTAGCACCACCAGGTTGTTCAGGGCGGCACTAGCGTGAGTGGGGAGGGGTGAATACTAGCCATCCCTTCATGCAGCCCGGTAGCCAAGTGGCCACATCCTGGTAGTGGGCTGTGGCCCATAGGTTGGGGACCCCTGGACTAAGGTATATATTTTTTTCTTCCATTAGTTCCTGTCTGATTCTCAGAGACTGCCTGGAGAAGTCCCTGCAGTTTCCTTGGCAAAGTTTTTTCAGAAGTGGTTTGCTCTTCCTTCCTTCCTAGGGTTGAGAGAGAGTGATTGGCCCAAGGTAAGCCATCTGGCTTCATGCACATTGTCTCCTGTTTTCTATCCTGGTGCCTTAACCACTACACCAAACTGGCTCTCTAAATAAGATAATAAGGGTCATCTAAAATTACACTTATATTGTGCAAGGACATGCAAAAGAATTTGCATTTATTCTCCTTGCAATACCCACAAGTGTCTGCAATCTTCTGCAGCATCCTTGGATAGAACACTGGTAGAAGAACATATTTCGCTGGTAGATGTTCAGCTAACAGGGGAAACATGCATAGTTGGATATATATCCTACCGTCTGAATACCCAGTATTGTTCTGAGAATAAGGCAAGATGATCGTCTAGTAGAAACATTTCAAGAAACCTAAGGCATGAACATCTTTTTCTGATAGTCCTATATTACAGACAATACAAAAAGCACACAGAATACTATTGCACAATAGATGCAGTATTAGAAACTCTTATTAAAGGAATCAATTCAATTAACAGTTTCTCCATGCCTGAACTGAGAACTTTTTGGTTACTTGAAGATGTTTGTTATCAAGGCATCTTGGTTATCAGCCATGGAAGGATTTCTCATAATACCCTCATTATCACAACTAAAATCATGAGCTTACAGTTGGTCATGAAGATGGTAGATGGTAAGTCAGCTTTTGGGCTCACAATTATATAAAAAAGAGTAAAGTAAGAATAATGAGTAAAGAAGGCATTCATCTTTGGGATAAATGCCGAGACAAAGATGGCCTTTCCCTACTACCTAATTCAAGTGGCTTTCTGTGTTTGAGTCAGCAGAAATCTATACTGGCATAAAATGTATTGTCCCATCGCCTTTCCTATTCCTGGATCTGGAGAACCCTCACAATTTGTTAAGCTATCGATGAAATTGCTGGGTCTGGAGCAACTATGCCCAGTGTTTTCTCCAAGGCTAAGAAAAGAGAATGGTGACAGATCCCTGGGAATGGAAGGGAAAAGGTGTGTAACTCCAGAACTTGAAGCTAATCCTACTCTCTAGAAGTCACCTGACTGTGTTGCTGACAGAATACTCCATGAAGGATCTAAGATTTTATAGACTTTGGGATGACTAGGGCAGAGGTCCCCAACCTTTTTGGCACCTGGGACGGTTTCATGGGGGACAGTTTTTCCATGGACCGGGAAGTGGAGGGGGGCAAGGGAAGGTTTCAGAATGATTCAAGTGCATTACATTTATGGTAAATTTTCTAAACAAATAAATAAATAAGTAATCCACTTTATTTCTAGTATTGTATTAGATTAGATCACTTCTAAAAAAGTGGGAAGGAAAAGAGATAATCCTAAACTCAGCCTTCCAGCAAAACAAACCAAAAACCCAGCACACTGAGGAAGTGCTGAAAAAAAAAAACCATGAGAGAGAGAGAGAGAGAGGGGGGAGGGAGGGAGGGAGAGGGAGCAAAGGAACTCAGCACTGTGCAAGCCCAGCAGCCTTGGAAAAGATGCAAATGAGAGAGGGATTCCCTTGGAGACACAGTACTTAAGTGGAAATGTAGCTTCTCCCTCCCCTATTGTAAGCTGGGTAGGAGTGTGCTTGCCTTGCAAATTTTGAGAACTACACGAAGAAAGGAGGGACACACACACACACAAATACACCAAATGACACCTCGAAAAGCAGGCAGGATGTTGCCAAACACGAGGCACCTGGAGCATCAAAATAAAAGCAAAAAACTCCAGTTGAAGTGCAGCGGAGCCCAGCGGTCTTAGAAAAGGGGTAGATAAGAGAGAGAATCCCTTGGAGATGCAATGCTTAAGGTGAAAGGTGGCTTCTCCCTGCCCCTATTTGCACTCTGAGAAAGACACCCTCACACACACATACCTTGGGGAGGTGTCCCCCCTCCAATGAGGCTTTGGGGGAGCTCCCAGTTGCAAGCTGGGCTGGTGCATGTTTGTCTTGCAAACTTGGAAAGTTGCTTAAAGGGAGCGTGAGCCCGGCTGGGGGGCCGGGAAGAGGGAGGAGGAAAGTGAGAAAAAAAAAGAAGGAGGAAGGAGTAGTAGCAGAAGGAAGAGGGATCAAGACCAGGAAGAGGAGGAGAAGGAGGCAGAAGAAGAGGTAGCAGAAGGAACAGGAGGAGGGAGGGAGGAAGGACACAGAGCTCAGATGTTACAAACTAGTTGCAAGTGCAGCCATTGGAGGACCTTGCACTGAGCAAGATGGCTTCTGCCCTGCCACTCTCCCACCCCTGCCCAGAACCCTGCAGACTTGCTGCATGCCTGGAAGTGGAAGACGTGCTATCAGCGCATCTCCAGCTGTGTGGCCCGGTTCCTAAGTGGCTGAGGCTCAGTATCGGTCCATGGACCGGGGGTTGGGGACCCCCGGACTAGGGGGTTCCTCTCCCTGTAAGATACAAAACATAATGGATAAGAACAACTTAAGCCTGTCTCATCAATGGGCTGAGGACAAGACAAAAACATTACAGGAAGACGTATATAAAGAAGTTGCTAGAATATGTTTGTATTATGATTAGATGGGTAAGGATATTTTAGAGGAGAATATTTGATGACAACAATGATCAGAATAGTTAAAACAATGGTCCTTCCAATAATATACTGTATATTGATACTGAGAAAGAACAAGAGAATCAAGTTCAGATGATGGATCTAAAGACAGTAAGAATACTATGCAAAAATGATTATTCAGTCCTGAGCCAAAAAAAAGCTCACTGCCTTTTGACATAGAATAAAAAATATGACTTTGTTTGTCAAGAGGGAAAAATAAAAGAAAGGGTTGAAACAGGAGAAAGACAGGTTAAGGCAGATGGAGAGGATAAAAGAAAATTTTGCATGATTATCCCAGGAAGAGTTATGAGTTATTGTTGGAAATAAATGGAGATACTGAGCAGTACTCCAGGAGACAAGCCTGACTCATTAAACAGTTAAGGTTTTAATATAGAGTAGACCTAAATAAACGGTGTTCCCAGAGCTCATCAGAGTTTTGATTATATGATACAAAAGACTGAGGTTAAGCGCTGATGTTAGTTCATCTATAATTTTTATTTTTTTACTTTTATTATTTAATAAGTGCAACCTTAAAGATTAAAACAATAATAGGGATCTGTTGTTACTGTATGAAATAATTTGCCAATTTTGTTACTAGATGTTTATATTTTACAAAATAATAAATACTAATGGGGAATATTTGACAGAAGTGAGAATATAGCTTTTGTTTTGCATATATATGTCATATGTTTTAAAGCTATGATCTGTTATTTCTAACTTTATTAGCTCATTTCTAATTTAAAACCAGTCTCTGCTTTGAGTTTTCAAAAGTGAAAGTATCTGATTCTCTAAACAGCAATAATGATGAATACAAACATTCTTTTGATATCATAAAAGATGGTACATTTGAACAGCAAGACAGAAAGCAACCTAACACAATCCATTTTTTAAAATAGATTAAGCAAACATAACTAATTCCAGATCCTTGAATATCAAAATAGCTCACTTTGAAAATATTACTGTAGATACTAGCAAGTTTTTTTAAAAGTAGCAAGGTAATTCAACAGCAATGGTCTTTTCACAATGATTCTTCTGGAGAGCATTTTAGTACTTCTGCAACTTATCTGAAAAATCAAATTTTGTATCTGCCTCTTGGGATGTCTTCACTGAAATTCCACAATAGATTTATTGAGCAATGTCATAGTAGTAGTTGCGTAGCTTTAATTCAACAGTAGAAAATGATGGCCGATCATCAACACTGGAAGAAAAAAGGAAAATATTTTTATAGCCAACCAGACTCTTTATTATTTGTCTGGCAATTTCCAGTCAATATATTATCTCTTTAACAACAACATTTACCAGCCCTTTCTCTTGCTTCAGGACAGCTTATTGTGTAACTGCTATCATCAGATAACTTAATAGTGGTTTCTCAGCACTTAGCAAGAAACAGCCAGCAAAATACTGCATTACAAAATGACATTTTGGAAACACTGGAAAGGATCACAAATCTAGGCAATGTCTGATCTGTATTTTTCTTTCATCTTCTTATCAATACTATCAGATTGGGTATCTCCTGGATGGAGGTTGAAACAGAGAAGGAGTCAAAAAGTCAAGATGGTGGTCACAACCAAGAGATCAAATCTTGGTATTTATGTTGTGATGCATGAAAAATGGGGTGTATCCCTTCTCATTTGCTAAAGAATTCCAAACTGAGGTATATGCTGGTTTTGATGGAACATTTAACTATGGTCAATGAGCCTGAAAAGCTTCAAGAAACTATTGATATGAGAATACTTACCTATATGTCCAACACAATTTCATTAATTCATAGATATCAGATGAGCAACCCACTGGACATTCCAGTCGTTCTCCTCTTTCAATCATCTGTGCAACATCAATTCCTTTCATACCCTACAACCAACGACACAGAAAACTGAGACAACGTTGGTTTCAATTGAAATAATATCACAATTTCTGAAATGTTTTCTCACAAAGAAGTGTCGTAATGGACATTTGAATAGCATCTACATCTTGGTTTATTTTTAAATCTATGATTTGGAATTAAAGAGGAAAGTTTAATAATGGCAGATAAAGTTTATTTACCTTATATGGCTTTTGTCCAAAGGAAAATGTCTCCCACATTAACACACCGAAACTCCAAACATCACTCTTGCTAGAAAATTTGAAGAAGTTCATGCATTCTGGAGCATACCATTTAACTGGCCATTTGCCATGATGTTCTGCCTGTAATGACACCCAAAATTAAAGAAAACAGTAAAATACATTGGTGTATTATATCTATCAAGCACAACTATAAAAGAATCAGAAAACGTGTTCCATTTTAATTGTTCAATGAACCACAATTTGTTGTTGCAACCCAGAGGTTTTATAGAATGTATTTATAAAATAGATTTATTATACAATGACACAGTAACAGTAATTAATAAAGAACAAATAAATTATATAATATCAGGTAATTACTCAAAATTGTTATTAGAACAAAATCATTATCAGTTAATGGTACTATAGAAGAAATGTTTATAACATTCAGTTGCTTTTCAAGCAAAACTTGCCAATCTCCACATCTTCTCTGTATTCAATAAGAATTCAATCTTATCTGAATCTGGCTAGAATACTTTGCTTTTTAGAAGACGTTCTAATTATTTGGTATGGGTAGCTGAGGAAGTTGGGCAATACTGTATAGTAGATAGTAGGAATAGCCTATAAAATGCTTTTTTTAAAAAAAGGGGGTAGACTCGCTGGGAGTGTGAATATTTTAGGCCAGGGGTCTTCAAACTTGGCCCTTTTATGACTTGTGGACTTCAACTCCCAGAATTCCTCAGCCAGGCATGCTAGCTGAGGAATTCTGGAAGTTGAAGTCCACAAATCATAAAAGGGACAAGTTTGAAGACCCCCATTTTAGGCAATGACCATCATATATATTCCATGCTGCCTGTTGCATCCCTAATCTTACTAATGATGTCTGAACAGAAGGGATAATACAATAGCATATCCTCTAGGTAGATATACAAATTGAATAAATATATTTCAGACATTGCTTGCATTTGATCTTAATTTTTAGTATTGCATATCAAGAGGCACCTTTGTTGATAACCACTAAACTTAAATCAACTTTTGCCAAAATATCAAATACCTTGTTCTTAAAAGTCCATTTTTCTGAGATGCAATTTTCTTTTTTGCTGCATTCACAAATGTAGATGAGGCCTCTTAGTGTTTTGAACCAGTAGGGATATATTGTTGGAATATATTGAATTTTTTTTCTAACAGGGGAAATTTAGGTAACCAGGAAACTGAAAGGAAATGTACAGTATTCCAGTACTAAAAAGCTCTGGTCATGATGCTTGTTTGAATAGGTTGACTGCCAGCCCCTGCACAGAGAAAGGATATGGGGGTATCTTTGGAATTCCCAAAATGATTCTTAAGAATTTATTTTTTTTAAAAAAATGAGTTTGCATTATGAAGAAAGGTTCCAAACTCAGTTTCATAGAGGGGGAAAAAAGGCTAACTTAAGTTTGAGGCAATGTAATATTGGATGAATGTGATGACCATCAACAGTACACTACCATTTCAGTAGCTGTTGTTGAATCTTAATTTCAGGGACACATTATTGAGGCAGGTCTCTCTCTACTGTAAATAAAAAGCCAAGATAGTAACAAGAAAACACTTGATTGCTGGACAAGGTGCCCACTTTTCATTCATCCTTCATTTATGTCTAGGAGAATTTTGCCTAAAAACTCTAACTTTTGTTTTTATAATTGATGGCCCTATTTTTTGCAATCAACTCCCCCACTAACTATATTTGGAACCTGATCTTCTGAAATCTGAAAAGATCCTCACATTTCGTTTTTTCCAACTGTGGTAGCCAACAATGGTTTAAATTATAGTAGTATTGGAGTTAGTGTTTCTTTATGTTTACACATACACATGTGTTGTTTATATTATATTGTGATAAGTTATACACATACACTATATTGTATGCTTATTCTAGTGTTAAATATAAGCATACATCAAACAAAAATATTATAGCAATTCTACAAATTTCTCTGGGAGCAGATGGCAGATGCTATTGGTCTTCACTTTGTTATTCATGAATATTTTTTTCCATTGAAAAATGAAAAGAATGACTCACTCTCTGATATTTCTGGAATGGAGACCATGAGTGAATGAGGTGGATTTTACAGGAAGCATCTGGCCCATCCCTAACTATAAAGAAACTGATGCCATTAGAAACTGTTAAATCTTTCGTTCGCGTGCGAATGATGAAGACACATGGTGACAATTAACAATGCTTTATTCTCCTACTCCATCTCCAAGCAAAAGGCACGCAGGCCTTTTTATAGGGCTTGAAACCCAGACAGAGTGAACCAATAAGAGTTCCTCTTTCTTCACTCCTTGCGCATGCACACAAGGCCGGCGCCGCTCTGTCTGGTCCCGGGCAGCTTTTAGAATGCCTGGGACCATTTGCAACAATTCTGGGCCTGCTGACTTTCCTCATCAGACCCAGGACACAACACACCTCCCCCCTGGATAGAACAAACACAATTCCAATTTTTTTTACAATAATAATAAAATAAATTAAAAGAAAATAATAGTCTGCTCACATGCAGACACCCTTCTTATAACTAATAGAGTTAGCTAACCAACCACTCTCTAATGTGGACTTCGTGTGTCTATCCTCTACCCAACATAGGTCCCATCTCCTCAACCTAGACCTGTAAGGTCCCTTGTACTGACAAGAACCTCACATATTCGCCTAGATGCTTAGGAGGGGCCTTAGCCCGTTGTGACCTACTCAAGGTTAGGGAGGGTGCCTGGTCTGTCAGCTCACCTGCCCGGCTAGGCAGACCAGGACTTGTTCTTAAGGGCGCCTGGCCTACTGGCCCGTCTGTTGGGCTCGCTAGACCAGGACTTTTATGCACATGTTTTGCAGGTGACCCCTGGTGAAGCGTGCCGGCAGAATTGCCAGAGCTCTCCCCAGGCTCCGTAAGAGCAGCCGAAATTCCCCAACCCTCTGAATTGGCTGAGGATTCCCCAACTACCCTGGATGGCTCCAAGGAACTTAGTCCCTCGAGCCCATGACTACTCTCGGATGTGACCTGTGTTGCAGATGTGCCCCAATATTCCCAGTCTTCTGTGGCCGAGGTGCCAGAGTCAGGGGCTGCCTTTATGACAAACCCTGCCTCAGGTGAATTCCTGTTTGGAGCTCTTGCGGATACGTATGACTCCCTGTTCGGCACAATAGCTGAACTCTGAGGATGCCCTTGCACCTCCCCTGAGAAATCCCCTGGGAAATCCTTAGTGACCTGTGGTACGTCCCAGGAACAATGAGATTGTGCTTCAGAAGGTTGACCTGAAGTACAACGTGGTTCCTGGGCCCCCTCCCCCGAGAGCGGAGGCAGAGGCGGAATCCACAAGGGACAACCACCAGCGCAGTTGATCGATGTGACGCCGCAAGATGTGGTCATCTCCCAAGGTCACTTCGTATGAGAGAGGTCCAGAGATCTTACAGATGACAGCAGGAACCCACAGACGACCAGGAGCATAGTTCCTAGCCCAGACCGGATCACCCAACTTAGTCTCCTTGGTGCCCATGGTTGCGACACCTGAGAAGCCACCCGGTCTGGATGCAACCTGTCCAATTTAGTAATGACTCTGCGACCCCAGCGGAGTTCAGCTGGGCTCTTTCCAGTGGTCGTGCAAGATGTGGTGCGGTGTGCAAGAAGAAAGTCAGCTAACCTGTGATGCCAGCTACCAAACGTGAGTCTTTTGAGTGCGTCCTTGGTGGTGCATACCATCCTTTCAGCTTGCCTGTTGGTGGAAGGGTGGAAGGGAGCTGACGTTGCATGCTGGATCAGGTTGGCCTGAAGAAAAGCCTGGAACTCAGAAGAGGTAAATTGAGGGCCATTATCTGAAACCAGGACATCTGGAAGTCCGTGTGATGCAAAAATTCCTCTCAACACCTGGATAGTCCTAGCAGTAGTAGTAGAGGAAACAGGAACAACCTCTAGCCACTTGGAATGGCTATCAACAAGGATAAGGAAGAATTGCCCCTGGAAGGGCCAGGCATAATCTAAATGTACCCTTGACCAAGGGGTGTGTGTCTCCTCCCACTTGTGGACAGGGGTCTGAGGCATTTCAGGCCGTGATTGTTGGCACACTTGGCACCCATGCACCTGAACATCAATAGCTTTATCAAGCCCAGGCCACCAAAGATGGCTGCGCACAAGTGCTTTTATCCTGACTATCCCAGGATGTCCCTCATGTAGAGAAATTAAGACTCTAGACCTCAGTGAGGCTGGGATGACTCCCTGCTACCCCATAAAAGACACCCATTAAAGGTAGACAGTGCGTGTCTCCTTTGCCAAAAACTTTGAAATGTCGCATCTGGACACGTGTCAGGCCATCCTGACAACACCCATGTCAGCATGTGTGTAAGCATGTGATCAGTGGCAGTTTCTGCAGCCACGTCCCTAGCATTGAGGGGAGATTCAGGCAACTCCTGAATGGAAAGAATATTTATGCTTCTACCTGAGTTAAAGGCAATCTGCTTAGGCCATCTGCATGGCCCATTTCTTTTTCAGGTTTGTGAACTAGAGTGTAGTCATATGCTGACAGGAAAATGGACCATCTCAGCATACCTGGAGAAATGATATGTGGAATCTGTTTGTTAGTGGTAAACAAACCCAGCAGAGGCTTATGATCAGTATAGACCATGAAGTGGCAGCCATATAAGAAATCATGAAATTTCTTTATGCCAGCCACTATGGCCAAGGCTTCTCTGTCAATCTGAGCGTAATTCCGCTCTGCAGATCACAGAGTCCTTGAATAATAGGCCAAAGGGACTTGTGTCCCATCAGTCTTCAGATGGCTAAGTACTGCTCCCACCCCATAAGGAGATGCATCGCATGCGATGCAAACAGGCAGTTGTTCATTGAAATACGCTAAAACAGTATTAGAAGTGAGCAAGGCCTTAACCTATTGAAGCTCTTGTCATGGACCTTAGTCCACTGCCAAGGAGCCTGCTTGTCTAAGAGCCTGTGTAATGGCTCTGCCACTGCAGCTTTATGTGGGAGCAATGCATGATAAAAATTTAAGAGCCCCAAGAAGGCTTGCAGCTCACTCTTGGACTTGGGGCTTGGGGCCTGTTAAATAGCTTGTAGTTTAGCTTCAAATCAATCCTGAAACCTAAGAAGTCAGTGGAAGTGACTCCTATCTTGCATTTATCCTGCTTTAGCTTAAGGCCTGCTTTTCGAAAACGAAGCAAAACAGCCCTTAATGTTTCTAAATTTTGAGATGACTCCCCAGCACTGAGGACGTCATCAAAGTAGGGAGAGACCCTAGGAATACTTTGGAATATGCCAGGGGCTACATTGACCCCAAATTGCAGTCTCTTGACCTTGAAGGCCACTCTGTGAGTTACAATAGTCTGGGCCTCTGCAGCTTTCTCATCAACAGGTAGCTGTTGATAGGCCTGTGCCAAGTCAAGTTTTGCAAAAATGCGCCCCCCCTTGAGGGAGGCCAGGATGTGGCTTACAACAGGGACTGGATAAACGTGCTGTTGCAATGCCTTATTCAGTGTACACTTGTAGTCTGCACATATACGTATTTCCCCATTAGCCTTTAGAGGTGTTACTATGGGGGTTTCCCATGGACTAGAATCCACAGATTCTAAAATGCCCTGCTGGAGCAATTGTCCAGCTCAGCATCTATCTTACCCTTAAGGGCAAAAGGTACCCTCCTAGGCTTAACCCTGATGGGCGTGATGGTTGGGTCTAACCGTAGCAAAATGGGAGGCCCCTTGTAGGATCCTAGTTCTGAACTAAAGACATCTGCAAACTTCTTGCAAACCTCTGCAAGGCCCAGCGTTTGCAAGCTGTGCAGCCCAGTTACTTGGATTCCCAGAGCCTCGAACCAATCGAGTCCAATAAGACTTGTACGTTCATCCCCAATAACCACCACATCTAGGGAACCTTCAAAATCCTTATACTGTACCTTAAGGGTGGCCTCCCCTTTAATACACACCATAGAATTTTGAAAATCAGTGAGTATTAGATTCGATGGCCTGAGTTTAACTCGAAGGCCACTACTGATGCAAATCCTTTTGAAGGCATTAATTGAAATAATGAAAAGAGCAGACCCAGTGTCCAACTCCATCAGTAAGGGAACCCCTTGCAACCTTACATTAATGGAAAGTTTCTTAAGGGGGTTGTGTGTCCTTGTTTTCAGAATGTTCCTGCGTGATGCGCAAAAACCCACCCTGTGTTGACTGGGGACCTGGTACCTTTCTGAAGCAATTCTTCCCGAGGTTGAACCTTCTGGCAACCCAGACAGAGGGATGCAATGTAGCCTTGCCTGCCACACGCCTGGCAAATGGTGGAGCGGAATTGGCAATCAGCTCGCATGTGGCGTCCTCCATACCTGAAGCATTGAAGAGATGCTGGGGCCTTGACCGGACGTCCCTTCTGCTTCCTCTCAGCTGGCTGGTGAAGTCTGTCGACCTCCTCTTCAGGATCCACTTCTGATCCTTCTCGAGCATCCTCTTGATGGACGGTAGCTGTGTCTGGAGGATTCCTGGCGAGGCGCAAGGCCTTCACAGCCCCGCCTGCTCCTTCCTCAGCTGCCACCTCTCGCAACGCATTTTGGAAGGAAACATCTTCTTTTGCAAAAATCTTTTGTTGTAAGTCTCTGCTCCTTAATCTGCAGACAAAGCGATCTCGCAGCCTCTCTTCCAGATCCTTGAACTCACAAGGTCTGGCTGCTTGCCTTAAGGCTGCAATAAAGTCCACAGCAGATTCACCTGGCCTCTGGTCTCTCTGCTCGAACTTGTGCCTCCAAGCAATGACAGATAACTTTGGCTGGAAGTGTTCCTTCAACATTTTCTTCAAGTCAGCATATGTTACTGACTCCAGAGGTGCAGGGGCCACCAGATTTTCTGCGATGTCAAAAGCTTCTTGTCCACAGGCACACAAAAGAGTTGCTGCCTTCAGGCCATCTTCTCTAATCTGATTTATTCTGAAGTAGTTCTCCACCTGTGCTACGTAGGAATTCCATCTCTCTGAGTGGGAGACATTGAAATCAGTCAAGTGGCCAATCTTCGGCATTGTAAAGTTTACGATCTTCACCACTTGCTTCTTCTGTAAGCTGTTGTTTGGGGAAAGGGTCCTTTAGCCGAGCTCACCCTCCAGCGATGCTATACTGGCAGGCTGGGATGCTGATTCAGACGCCGTCTTCCCTCTTCAGGACTTCCAGGGTAAGTCCTTAAATCTTTTGTTTCAGCTTACAAAGGATCCCACCTTCATCGCCAGTGTTAAATCCTTCGTTCGCGTGCGAACGATGAAGACACATGGTGACAACTAACAATGCTTTATCCTCCTACTCCAACTCCAAGCAAAAAGCAAAAGGCACGCAGGCCTTTTTATAGGGCTTGAAACCTGGACAGAGTGAACCAATAAGAATTCTTCTTTCTTCACACCTTGCGCATGCGCGCAAGGCTGGCGACGCTCTGTCTGGCCCCGGGCAGCTTTTAGAATGCCCAGGACCATTTGCAACAATTCGGAGCCTGCTGAGTTTCCTTATCAGGCCCAGGACACAACAGAAACAATACTAGAATTCTTCCCGTGAATTCTAGCTCCTTGATTGACTCAGCTTATATAAATTATAGTTGATAAATTTTAATTAATGTTTAGCAAGGGCTTTTGTGATGTCCTAATAAATGTTTTCCCCAACAAGTCATATACATTTAACAAATAAGCATAACTTCACTGGGCTTCAAAAAGCTTAATTACAGGAAGAAATGCTCTATTCAATTCTTTTCTCCCAACAAATTTGCTCAAGGCATAAAGTTGAGCAAAAGCTGAATTATAGTGACATCACAGCACATTGACATTTGATGATAAAAAACTTAAAACATGTTAAAGGATGGAAAAATTACCTTGTAGTAATCATTAGAACCAAGAGCTTTTGAAAGTCCAAAGTCACTGATTTTGGCATAATGTTGTGTAACCAGAAGCACATTTCTTGCAGCTAAATCTCTGTGTACAAAATTATTTTCTTCCAAATATTTCATTCCCATGGAAACTTGATGCACCAGCTCTATTAGGTTCTTTTCTGTGATATCTCTGCAAAATCAAACCTGACTTTTAGAAACCTATTTCTTTTTACATTTTTCATTCTTCATCCCCACCCAGTAGGGAGCAAATACTAATGATACTGTCAAGATTGAAAACTTGGCAGTTACATGCCTGGACTTTATTTGGATACTCAAGCTGGAGGTTGACAGATACAATGAATAAATATTCCAACTTAATTGCTTAATAAGAACTAATTAATAGTCTTTATGCATTCATTCTTTTTCATACATTATTGCTAAATTTTTATTATATCCATGTAGCATCCAAATAGTCTAGAACAGAGGTGGAATACTTTCCTCCCAGTCTTGTACAGTCTCAGAAACCTTCAGAAATTGTCAATGGATTGTAAATTTTAATGTGACATAATTATGATTTGACAGGTGATTATTATTTATACAGGAAATAAATATACTAGTTAAATTAATCTTTTAAACTAATCTTTTAAATTCAAATAAAATTAATATTTTCTGCTCTTTGCTCATTTCTTTGTCCTGATCTTAACAAATGTTTGGAATGTGGCCTGAAAAGCTTGACTTAGTTGGTTTACAAGCAAATGCCAACCATGAAATAGAGATTTTGTGGAAAGTAGACTTTGCAGAGATCAAAGATTCGCCTAAACCAGGTGTGGGGAATGAAGGCCCTTTTATGACTTGTGGATTTCAACTCCCAGAACTACACTGGCTTGTCCTAGCAAGAATATATACTCAATCAATATCACAATTAATATGATATAATTAGGAAGTAGGTTGATGGTGTAGACCAGAGGTGGGGAACTAGGCCCAGTATTTTTCAATATCTTCATAAATGACTTAGATGAGGGAATTGAAAGGGAACTCATCAAATTTGCAGATGACACCAAACTGGCAGAAGTAGCCAACACCCAGAAGACAAAATCAGGATCCAAAAAGATCCTGACAAAATTGAACAATGGTTCGTGTCCAATAAAATGAGTTTCAATGTGGAAAAATGCAAAGTTTTATATTTAGGCAGGAAAAATCAAAGGTACAAGTACAGACTGGGCGAGACCCGGCTTATAAACAGTAACTGTGAGGGACCTTGGAGATCTAGTGAACGATCACTTAACCATGAGCCAGCAGTGAGCAGCAGCAGCCAAAAATACAATCCTGGGTTGTATAAACAGAGGCATAGAATCAAGATCACATGAAGTATTAGTATCACTTTATAAAACCCTAGTAAAACCACACCTGGAACATTGCATCCAATTTTGGTCACCATATCACAAAAAAGATGTTGAGAGTCTGGAAAAAATTCAGAGAAGAGCAACTAACATGATCAAAGGCCTGGAGACTAAAACATACCAAGAATGACTGCAGGACTTGTGTTTGGCTAGTCTAAAGAAAAGAAGAAACAGGGGAGACATGATAGCAGTATTCCAGTATTTGAGGGGCTGCCACAAAGAAGAGGGGGTCATGTTATTCTCCAAAGCACCAGAGGGAAGGACAAGAAACAATGGTTAGAAACTGATCAAAGAGAGAAGCAACCTAGAATTAAGGAGAAACTTCCTGACAGTGAGGACAATTAACCAGTGGAACAGCTTGCCTCCAGAAATTGTGGGCACTCCATCACTGGATATTTTAAAGAAGAGGCTAGACAGTCACTTGTCTAAGATGGTATAAGTTCTCCTGCTTAAGCAGGGAGCTGGACTAGAAGACCTCCAAGGTCCCTTCCAGCTCTATTCTATTCTATCTGAGAATTTCAACTCCCAGAATTCCTGAGTCAGTACGGCTGGCTCAGGAATTCTGGGAGTTGAAGTCCACAAGTCATAAAGGGGCCATCGTTCCCTAACTCTGGCCTAAACAGACTACATCATTTACATTTGTGACATTTCTATATTGCAGTGACTTCCATGCTCTGTAAATGTACTTGTGGAATAGTAAAATCAGCAAAAATCGCAGCCATGCACTCAGGTAATCAGGGATGGCAAGTCAAAATATATATCCTTTATATGAATACAGCATAACCATGTATATCTGTATTCAGTAAATTCACTTGTAGTAAAATTCAGTGGTCTGTCACAAAGCTGTATATATCCCTTCAATGTAAATTGAAGAATAAAATGTTAATTTTGAAAATGACACTGTTATGAAAATGTTTGCTTTTGAAATATTCAAAATTTCAATTTTCAGATATTAGAAAAACTGTTATTTTCATATAACTTGTACTTTCCAATGAGCAGCAATCATTATAATTATCAATTTAGATTCCATCCATTATTGGTTGAAACTTGCCAACTTACTGTCAACTCACCCATGTTTTAACAGATATTTATTCAAGGGGCCAAGCTCAGCCATTTCCATTACTAACATCCAAGATTCAGCTTCACATATCCCAATCATTCGGACAATATACGGGTTATCAAGTTGTTGCATTACATTTGCTTCTCTTAGGAGTTCATCTTTTATTGCTGGATCATTACTTTCATTTTTGAGAATTTTCACAGCCACAGTTTTCTTTCCTCTATAACAGAAATTCCAAGAAAACAGAATTATGTTAAGCTTAGGAGAAGGACAGATGGCTGGAAATGAGGTGGCCTATTTCTGTCCTAAAATAAATTTTGCTGGCTAGCAGTAGTTCACTTGCTTTGCTCTGCTGACATTTTCCAAACAGAATCAGTCTTAATTTCAAATCTGTAGATACCATTTTAATATTTTAAGATCATGAGGCCACTACTGTGGCTTTATCAGAAGTTCCAATTCTTTAATCTATGTTTGAATATTCCAAAAGAGTCCACTTTCAAATTTTTCTTGTACTTTTGATAGAGATATGGTATACTATAGGTGTTATTTCTGTAATGGATTCTATCACACAAGAAAGCAACTCAGGTGCCTTTGAGGCAGCCAAAGCACCTGGTCCATACTGATCCCTCAAAACATGCTTAAACTGAAGACACCTCCACTGTTGCAAACTGGGAAGCCAAAATTCAATTTGAAGTTGGAGAAAATCCTTAAACTAGTCATTATATCATAGCTGATTTAAAATCATGATCCAGCTTGTATCGTAGCTTTCCAATTAAGTTATTTATCATCAATTTTCAAAATAGAATTTTTCCAAAGAGTTAGATCAGTGGTTCTCAACCTGTGAGTCAGGACCCCATTTGGGGTCGAATGACCATTTCACGGGGGTCGCCAAACAACGCAGTCTGCCATTTTTCCCCCTTTTTCTTAGCTGTGCTACTCCCTTTTATTCTATTGGCTTTTGAAAGCCAATAGAATAGACTCTCTTGAATAGAGTCTAATTCTATTGGCTTTCAAAAGCCAATAGGAATTGTCCAGGCTGTCTCTGCCCTGCTGAGCCCACCAAAAGTCCCATTCTGCAAATGGTGCTGCACCAGTTGAGTAGTCCTTGACTTACGACCGGCTGAGTAGTCCTCGACTTATGACCGGTTGGGGGTCGCGGCATTAAAAAGATTGAGAACCACTGAGTTAGATGTTCATGAGTCCCTATCACAACTCAATTTACATCCTAAAATGGCTTGTAGATTTCTCATCACTAGTTTTCCTAGAAATCTTTTCTGCTGCATGTTTCAAGAGCTTGCCATAGAAAATAGGACAAAGGAAATAGATAATAATTGCCAAACTTAACCCATAAAAGATAATATTTGATTATATTTTCATTTCACGAAGACACTAATAAAAACCTTGGACCAGTGGTATTTTTGACCTGTATGATGTGGTACTTGATCCATACCGAGACATATAATAACAATAACAATAACTTTATTGTCACTTTGAATGTACACCAATTGGCATACATCAAAATGAATATAGTAATGTGATCATTTAGTATTTTGGGGTGATAGTGTATTAATGTATATTAATAGATATATGGGTAGATTTTCAAATGTTAAAAATATGTTAATATAATGTTGAAGTTTTGGAATTTATCAAGAATTGTGATTGTATTGAGCATGGGGGGGGGTGGCCCGTTGCAAAACAATTACGTTTTAAAAAATGGAAGATATCAAGGGATAGTTGTCAGAAATGTATGACCAATCTGTTTTGAAAAATGCAAAACAGATTATTTTCTAGCAATCAAAGTAATATATATGTTACTATAGCACAAATTCTGTGATATCTTACAATGCTATCTGGTACTATGCATGTTATAGTAGTGAATTCATTGGTAAATCAATGTCTATTGATAAGTATAAAATATTAGATTTTTCTTTTCTTTCTTAGTTTGTACTTTTGATTTTTTTCAAATTAAAGTTTGTTTTGTTACCAAAAATAAATAATAATAAAATAAAATATAACTTGCACACATAACATTTTTCCCAACAGAAAGGGCAAAGATATATAGAAAACATTATTTGTTAATTACATAGTTTACCAGTTTAAAATTAAAATGCTAATTTTCATATGAACAAATTATAACAAATAAATTTAAATAAGAATACTGTTATGCTAGGCTGTAATCCAAACTGCTCTTTGTAGGCTAATTAAATGAAACTTCTGTATAAATATATACAAAACTGAATTTTAAGGATACAATTGTATCCATATTCATAAGGAAGATTCAGACTGAAATTTGGTAAGCAACTATTGCACTTAGTGGAACTTCTGACTGAGCTTAGAGAGAATAAACTGCCAAAGACTTTGGTTTAAAGCAGTGTTTCCCAAACTTGACAATTTTAAGGCATGTGGACTTCAACTCCCAGAATTCCACAGCCAGCAACGCTGGCTGTGGAATTCTGGGAGTTGAAGTCCTCATGCCTTAAAATTGTCAAGTTTGGGAAACACTGCTTTAAAGATAACACACTAGATTTTTGTTATACAACTGGAATCCAGTGCAAAGATCTGTGTTTAGTTTCATTATGTTAAAGTAATAAACTATTGTTTATGGGAACAACTCTATATTCACTTCAAATACCAAGTGTTTTGAAAGGTTATAACAAATGAACAATATTCATTTGATTGAACCAACTTAATTTTTAATTCTATGTTAGAGAAAGGGTTTTTTCTAATAATTACTGTAAGAACAGTATCAAAATCCAATAAAGAAGAGGATACTAAACAAATAGAGATGGGGAACAATAACCTACTTTTTCATTTCATAAGTGCCTTTTTTTACTGTACCAAAATTACCAGAACCAAGTTCTTTTTCTTCCAAAGTCAGTAAATTTCGGTCAAGAGTGACATTTTTAGCTTTCACTTCTTCTGGATCTGCATATGGACTTTCATAAACTTCTGTATCCATAGGCAAAGGTTCCCTCTCTTCACCTGTTAAATGAACAGAACTTACCTTATTACAACAGTCATTTGTAATCTGTCCTTACTGAATTTAAAATATGAACTTCAAAATATTAGTTCAAAATGAGGCACATTTTTTTCAAATGTTGTTGTTAATTGCGAAGTCGTGTCCGACCCATCGCGACCCCATGGACAATGTTCCTCCAGGTCTTCCTGTCCTCTACCATCTTCTGGAGTCCATTTAAATTCACACCTACTGCTTCAGTGACTCCATCCAGCCATCTCATTCTCTGTCGTCCCCTTCTTCTATTGCCCCCAATCTTTCCCAGCATTAGGCTCTTCTCCAGTGAATCCTTCCTTCTCATTAGGTGGCCAAAGTACTTGAGTTTCATTTTTTCAAATAATCATAATTATATTTTAGTTTGAACTTCAGCATTGAACTATAATGCTTTTATTACTATGCTATTTCATGCATATGGTTCTCATTTGCTTTTGTACATCTTAATGAATCACATATAGTTGCAAACTTTGTGAAATCAGACAGAATTAATCCTTAGAAGAAAGGAAATGTATTTTCATGAGGAACACCCAAACTCTGGACTAATCTATTTTCTGATAAATAGGCAAAGGATTTCTTGGATAAATTTTCTAAAAATACATGTGTGTTATAAATTATCCCAATTAGTCAGTCTTTCTGTTGCTATTGCTGATTTTATTTCCACATACAAACTATTTTATTCAAAAGGGAAAAAAAAAGATATGCATCAATGTGAATGTGATTTAAAGACAACTACAAGAGTCTTGGGTGTGGTTTCCAACCAGTATTACAAAATAATTTGGAATGGAAAGAAAGATAGGCAAAACAAAGCCTTTCCCTCAGATTCCATGTTAAAGAACAAGTGTCTTTTTTTTATGTTGACCAAATAAATTTATAGCCATAGAAAATTATTTGGAGCATTTATTGAGGCTAGAGTCCCTTTTAGACTCTACTGGGAAGGGCCATGTTAGATACAAAATGTAAGGAAGCTTTTATACCAGTTAGTAAAAAGTAAGAACAAAAGATCCAAAAGGTTAGCTATGCTGGCTAAGACAGCCTCTATTTACTGCCCTTTTGTAAGGTCCTGTAGACCTGGTTCTTTCCCTAGGCACTGGAATTGGGTTGTCAGCACTGGAGCTTTGGCACAGATATATGCAATAATAATAGCAATAGCAGATTTATATATTACTTCACAGTGCTTTACAGCCCTCTCTAAGTGGTTTACAGAGTCAGTCTATTGCCCCCAACAATCTGGGTCCTCATTTTACCAACATCGGAAGGATGGAAGGCTGAGTCAACCTTGAGCTGATGAGGTGCAGTCAGCAGAATTAGCCTGCAATATGGCATTCTAACCACTGTGCCAGCACACCATAGTTTATATACAGTTTATAGGTTTTTGGACTTTAATGGAATTCTTTGCTTTTATCTGGTTTGCTGCCCAGAGTTTATTGGATAGATGGATGGCTGTATAAACTGGATAAATAAATAAACTGAAGTCCAGCATTTTTCCAGGCACCAGGTAAGAGAAAAATTGGAGAAGTCTGGTCCACAGTTATACAAAGCACCAATATATCTCAATCAGTATAATCTTAGGCCAATGTGAGACCTGAACAATTGATTTCACTTGTTTGCAGTGAAATAAATAAGCACTTTAACTTGTGAATAGTTACCTTCACTGCCTGTATTTTAGACATTATCAGAAATGATATGAAAACATTACATACCTCGTTTTGCCCATGAGGGTGCATAATTGTTAAACATTGCAAGCAGTGCAGAATCATCTCTCTGGCCAGGAATAGAGAAAGATGGCTATGACACAAACAGATTTTTTTATTTCAATCATTTGGGGTCAAAGAGAAGGACAACATTAAGAAGAAAATTACATGATAAACATTAAGCAAAAACAACATGCAAGCGGAGTTAAAGAAAGGGAGCAAATCTTACCTAAATTTTTGAAAAGTTATTTGCTGCTTATATTTGGCAGTAAAGTAAGGCTTACAGTGAAAAAGCATAAAGATTTCTGCAAATATTTTAAATAATTTCCTAAAGAAGGAATTAAATAACACTTTTATATTTCAATTATAGACAACTATAGATCTTATTTTGGAATCCCGTGTCCACTGAAACAAGAACTGCTCAGTGTTTTTCTTCTAATATATTTTATATTTTCACTGTTATTTTTCATTTTATAAACCATTCTTCAAAAGTGCATAGACTTTGAAGCAGTAATTTGGAAAATAAATGTAATTTACTGGTCTAGCATTATTTGAAACTAACTTATCTCTAAATATCTCTTATTGCTTTTCCCAACCATTGATCTATGCCTTTTATGCAAATGAATAAAAATGAAAAGCTGATTAACATATTAACATGTAACATATTAAGCTTGCTTGGAACACTAGAAAACTGACTAATACAAATGTACCAGGATACACAAGTGATGCAATAGATAATTGTGGTGGCCATAAAATCCTTCCTTCCTTCCTTCCTTCCTTCCTTCCTTCCTTCCTTCCTTCCTTCCTTCCTTCCTTCCTTCCTTCCTCCCTCCCTCCCTCCCTCCCATATTTTTGCAGATCAATATGTGTTTGAATCAAAACAATGTCTACATACATTACATATAGAATGAAATATTTTGTGGAAACTAGTTTTAACTATATTACAGCAATAACAGCATTTTGCTAATATATTTCAATATTTTTATCACTTTATCTGTAAATTCAATTTTAAGATGCTTCCACCTAAATTGTAGAATTTGTACAAAAACTGATATTCCAAGAAAGTGGAAATGTTTGAAATAAATTTGATTTAAAAAGCCAAGCTACAAAGAGATTATATTGCTAGCAAAACAATTTAAGTGTTTTTTAAAAAAATACAACTAGCAACCTGATATGTTTATTTATAAATAAAATGTATAACTGCATAAATATTTACAAATTAACATATATTTAGAGTTGCCTCTACGATGGCAATTGGAAGTCTGAGTACTATTTGGGGCATCACTTTTCATAGAAAGAATAGAAGTCAATTACAAATGCTTTTAACATAAAATCTGCTGCTACTAAATCACTTAGTTGTTATATATGCCACAGAAAAGGAAAATAATTATTACTGGTACTGAATGTTTTAAGGGAATATGTAGTAATTAATAGATACCTATGAATTTCACAGTATATACACTATGTAAGTACCTACAGTATATCTGCTAGGAAAATGTAGGAATTCTACTTTGAACGAAGCAGAGAAAAACAGAGATATGTAAGATGACTGATCCGTTAATGTTCCTGTCTCCTCCAAAGCACTCGATTCTCTCTTTAGCAATGGGGAACTGAGAGTGTTGAAACTGACAGAACTAAATTGATTGGAGAATTACTTTTAAATAGGAAATTCATTCATATGAGACTTTAACACAATTAAGGAGAGAGGCAAAATAAATTAACTTTTCCCTATTTAGTTATGAAGAAGTGAGTATGATCCATTTGATGGGAAAAGAAACAAGCATTTGTAAATCTGTTTTGGAAATTAGGCATTTCCTTTACACCTAACATTTCTGTAAAACGCATAAAACTCATTTCTCATAATAGGCTGTGAATAAATATTTATGTTTGTTTTAGACTTATCAACATAGTTAACGTTCTAATAAAATTGTTCTAATACTTTTCTATTAGAAGAGTTTCTATAGCACAATGAAATCCATGAACTATTTTATTTAATGCATACCATATAGGAATTAGCATTGGACTAGGAACTGGAAGGCCTTGAAAGAGATTATAAAATGGCAATCAAAACACTCAAAATCACCAATACAGTTATTATAGTTCGAGAGGTAAGTAGCAGAAATAAGTCTAATGCTTTGAATTATGTAGGCAAGGGATTCATAAACTCTGAGTCATGACCTCCTGGTTAAGTCTTAAGTAGCTTTGAAGGAAATTGCATTTCTGCTACTACATCTGGAGGGCGCAGCCTATCTGACTGCTAGCTTAGGACTCAACACTTATTCAATGACCTTTTCTGCAACTCTTTCTACACCTTTCTACTCCTAGTGCCCTCGTTATCCTCTTCTTGGGCATCTCTATGGGGTTGGGAAGTTGGTTTATTCAGCCCTGCACTTACACTCACTCCAGTCTAGCTAACATTACTTTACAGAAGAGGACAACGCATCCCAAAGGGAGGCCAGTAAACTTAGGCTGCTTCATGTTTAGACCTGCTTGTAAAATACTTAGTTATTTTCAATTTAGCCACCATAATTATTCTAAAACAAATCACTGTTGTATTTCAAAACAAATAAAATGCAAGCCCAAGTATAAAATAGCCATGGTATGCATTAATTATATAAATTAAGAAGTCAGAGCTGAAGGAAGTTGCTAGATGCTCACAGAAGATTAGCAACAAGAGGCAAAGTAAACTACAAAAAGGTTTGTAAGTCAGCAAAGTGAAGATAATTTTTAAATGTATGGAAAGACTTAACAAAGCTGTGTTTAATTGCACCTTGTGACTTCCTGGCTTTGGGAAAGTATATGATTTGATTCTGGTGATAATTCCACCCGTTGTCCAAGTCTAGAAACCATAAAGGATATCAAAAGAATAAATAAACATATGAAGAAAATATGAAAAAAATCCATATCTATTTTTTTCAGTCATTCACAATAGATCTGTTCTAAGTATATTTTATGAAGTATATTGTAATAACTGATTTTTAAAGTTAAGTGAATGTTTGCTTCCATCAAAACTCTGGCTAAATTCAAACTTTAAATTATTTTAAAAGAGATCCACTAAAATCAATAGATCTTAAATTATTCATCTGCAGTTTTATTGATTACAATGGCATATTATAAGTATCCTGGATTTCATGACAACGGGTGCATTTTTAATTAGAACTTTTGGTTTTGTAGTCAGCTTGCTAAATTGCTAGTTTTAAAGATTATAACTGGGAAATACAGCTTTATGACTATATATTTAGCAATAATAGGAGAGATGTTAAGAAATTTTCTGGGTTGGAAAACTTCAATTTTTTAATTTCTTTTCCCCAATGCTTCAATTTGTTTTCTGTGTATTCGAATACTGCAAATTGAATTTAATTTATTCATAACATACACCATCCTCATGTAATCAATTAAGAAAAAAGTTTTATCAGTTTGGTCTAATTAATGCATCTATGGAAATATACATATTTGCTTTTGGGAAAGCAAAGTTTTTGGAGGTACTTCCTAGAGGAATTTATGATACATATTCATTCCTTCCAGGCATAGGTACTCGGGCAATTGCTTCACAAATCTATCACAAATAACCATCTGTACACAAATTTAAGGCCTAGTTTGCTTAAACATGTTTGCAGATAAGCATAAATGGTTAGTATCATCTTAAACTATAAAGCAGAGTCCCCAACCTTTTGGGCACCAGGGACCGGTTCCGTGAAGAGAGGTTTTTTGCGGAACGGAGGGTGTGTGGTTTTGTGTACTGCCTGCATCTCGTGGATGGGTCTTTGCTTGTTTGTGTGGCCCGGCTGCTGGCATGCCGTGGCCCAGGACTAGTCCATGGACTGGGGGTTGGGGACCCCTGCTATAAAGCACCAATTTATAAGGTACAATGATTTACCAACCAGTCACATTATGACTTATCACGATTAATAGATTATGTCTAAGATAAGAAGATAAAAGAGTATTTTAACTAGTGCAAACAAGCTTAAAACAATCATTTTCACTTACACGCTTGTTCTAGCACTGAAGTAAATGGAAAAGATAAAATCCAGTCTTATAAACTAGGACAGGAATTTCCAATGGTGTTTAATGCTTGAGACTAAAAGCCTTATTGGTTTGTGCTCATTATTTTCTCTGCTTCTTCAAATATCTTATATGAATCTATGTAACTTTGTCACATACAATATTTTTTAAAAATGTAATCCCATCATGGTCTCCAATTATATTTTCTGCTTCTCATGCATTCAAATCATATATGCACTTGCTTACAGAGCAAACTAATATATCTAAAACTACTTTTCATTAGTTATTCTGAAAAAAGAATTGAAGTTTCAAAATTTAAAATATGATAGCTATTATTTTATTTTCATCAGATAAAGCCCCATATATGAATATTCAGTAATCACGGGTGCTATAGTTGCCTTTTAACAAATTAATATTATGTAACATTTAAAAAACAGCAAAACATAAAATGTAATTTGCAACCTTATTTGTAATTTGTAATTAAATGTAATTTGAAACTTATTTATTCAGCAAGAGTAAATACATAAACCATGCTGAACACTTAAATGTTTATAATAATAATAATATTATAATATTATAATAATAATAATATAATAATACTTTATATTATTTAAAATATTACTGATTTTCACCAATTCATTTTCTTACCGTGGAGTTGCGAGGCTTAGGAACTTTGGGGGGTAATGTCCCTAAGATAAAAAGATATATCAATTAACATAAAAATATCAGTTGTGATTTATTATTAAGATCAGCATCAAGGAGCAAAGACAGGTAGAAACTTTATCTCCATGCAAAGACAAATCCAGTTCCCATTTTTTAAAAAATAAATAAATGAAATAGTAAAGAAATGAGCACACGTGAATTGATCTGGAACAGATTTTTCTGGAACAGAAAAGGTTATGTATAAAGTTTTGTCTGCTTCTCAGGAGGATGTTGTACTTTTGCAATTTACTGGAGAGTTTTTCAACAGGCTGAAAAGTAGAAGAACCTCATTATTAGTTCATCATTAGCAAATGATGAAATTGGGAACAAAATGTAATAACTCTTCCTAAAATTGGCCCCAGATGGAGAGAACTCTTATCATGTCAGGTTTTCCTGATGTGTAAACTAATTACAGTTTATTATAAATCAAGAAAAGGTTGGTTTTGTACGATAGTGAAGACATGGGCACTTTGTTTTACCAGCACTTCTAGTGGAAGTTTGGTTTTAGTGACATGGATCTACAACCTGAAAGCAGCCAGAGGTCACTTTAACATCAATATTTATGGGAGTCACACTTCATTTGTGCAATGTGCTAGGAAAAAAAAATCTTTCAAATATTTGCACACTTTTCATTTACAAGAATATGTCACTCATATCTGATCCAATTTCATTTTGAAGATGGAATGGATCACATATTGGTACATAAAAGTCCCTCTGCCCTCTACACCATATCTCACCACTCCAAACTGAAAGAAAATGATGTTTTCTCTAATTGATGCAATAAATACTTATTATATTTTTAAGCAACTGTATTTCAGAAAAATTAAGTTAAATATGCCAGTAATGACAGTTAGGGTACTTTTAATTTAATTACTAGGAATTTGCCTCATCTTGACACAATCAGATGTTAGTAATGCACACTGTATGGATTTGACTTCAATATTTTAAAAATATAAGCTACTTACTATTTCTTGACTGAAAATCTGGATCACGCACTGGCTCTGTGATTATTCTTAGAAGTCCATCTGCTTTGTAGGAATAATGTTCCACTAGCTATCATGTAGATGAAATAAAATAGCAGCAATGAAGCCAGAATAAATGCATGCACAAAGTATTAAATCTTTAGTTCCAGTCCACAAATATAATTTTGGATTATAATTTCTACTTAATACTGCACATAAATATATTTCAATGAATAAGCAGGATAAGTTCTTGGAACTTGTAAAATTCATAAGAACTTCTGATAAGTAATGTTATTAAAATTAGAAAGCTATCATGAAAGAATTTGTAGCATTTCAAGTACAAGCACCATTTATAGAATAAATATTCAAACCTTTTGTATCATATTATATTGTTCATCCTTTTTAATGGACTACTTGGCTGCTTCTTGGGGCAGAAGGTCCAATATCCACCAGTCTTGTTTTGACAACAGATGTGATATCAGACTGTTTTCCTCTAAAATATGGGAGACTTAATTCTCATATAAAATGAGCTGTGAGCTGTGCACAAATTTCTCTTTTTCATTAACCATTGACTAATTAGATTTCTGCAGATATTAAAGTTGAACACCCCAAGATTAAAAATATAGTGAGGCAACTGCATATATGCAAACTATCCCAATTTTGTTTGTTGCAATGATTTGCCTTCTTTCCAAGATTACAATATTTTCCAAGGTAGTCTCTCTTTTGAGAGATATTATAATTGAAATTCACTCAAGATACAGAAAACATCTGATATATTCTGAAATGGAATCCTAGATTTTTTTTCAGTAGCTATTTTCATTTAGATCTAAATAAAGATCTAAATAGATAGATAGATCTATAATAGATTTATTATAATAAATATAATAGATCTAAATATAATAGATCTATAATAGATTTATTATAATAAATCTTTCCAAATTTGCTGTGCCACAAACCATGCTGGGTTATCTTAATTAGATAGGTTAATTTAATCAATACTAATATTTTATACACACAACCACACACAATATACATATATAAGGCTTCAATAAATGTGACTAAGCTTTCCACAAAAATGTTTATAATTACGTGCAACCCTGGTGCTTCTTAGATCATAATGCCATGCAGAAATTTTTGGGTTACTCTTAGATGAGCAAAGGATATTGGTGATAATAGGACAATTAATCTAATACTTAAAGTATATCTTATACGCACACATACCACAGCCTATATTCTGCTCAAGCTATGGGAGGGCAATTTAATATATGTATTGTTTAGTTTTATCTGTAAATTACAATTCATAAAACTTTCAATAAAAAAAAAATGTGACTAAGAAAATAATTACAGCAATTGTTAAAAAATGTGGATACTTACAGCAACATAAATATGTATACAACCAGCATGTAAGTTCAATAGATAGTTAAGTGAATAGCATTCAACAAACCTGGCATAAAGTATCAAATTTCTTTCCAGCTGGTATTGAAAGTTTTCCTTTCTTGTCTTTATCAATGCGGTAATGTAGTACCTTTCCTTCATTGAGTAAACAAAGAGCATAGGATCCATTGTTATCTCTTTCCCTAATCCTAAAAATTAAAAGAATAATAAAGTAAATTATAGTCTAAATAAAGAGAAGGGGTATGAAAATCTAACTTAATATTCATGACAAAACATGTTGGGACACATTGTCCAAACTACAATCATTAACTGCTCCTGCTAACAGTAGGTAAACGATTATTATGTGGTTCAAACTGAGATTTTTTTAAAAAAGAATGAATAATTTATTTTAAAAGGAAAAGGAGAAAAAAGAAACAAATTGCAAATTACATGAAAAAGTCTGCAGAATAATGTTAAGATGAAATTAAAATGAAAGTAGAATTTATTCCTCTGGAAGAAGCATCTCAAATTTTATCTTTATATAACCAATTATATTTGGATCAAAACAATTATACAGAGTAAGACAGTTGGAAGGGACCTTGGAGGTCTTCTAATCTGACCTCCTGCTCAGGCAGGAAGACTTACACTATTTCAAACAAATGGTCTCCAATCTCCTCTTAAAAACTTCAAGTGTTGGAGTATTCACAACTTCTGGAGGCAAGCTGTTCCACTGATTAATTGTTCTAACTGTCAGGAAATTTCTCCTTAATTCTAGATTGCTTCTCTCCTTGATTAGTTTCCATCCATTGCTTCTTGTCCTGCCTTCAAGTGCTTTAGAGAATAGGTTGACTCCCTCTTCTTTGTGGCAACCTCTGAGATATTGGAATACTGCTATCATGCCCCCCTCGTCTTTCTCTTCATTAAATTAGACATACCCAATTTCAGCAACCATTCTTTATAGGTTTTAGCCTACAGTCTTATAATTTCATGACATTTTAATATTTCAGCAGTTTCAATATTGTTATATTAATTGTTATTAAAAATAAATGTTAAATAAATTTTAAAGATCTAGCCATTGAAAATAAATAATCTTAGTTTAAAGAGCTTAGAACACTCTCAGGTATGGCAACAAGCTATTTACAGATGAAATGTGACTTACAAGGTATTCTGGCAGCAATTATATATAAAGACAGTTCAATCTATTTTGTACGTTTATATAAAATTTAGCAATACTAATAGGAAAATAACTGATAGCAAACGAAAGTCAGTATTTATAATTTGGTTCATCCTGCTGTTGATAATTTGCTACAAAAAATTACCACCAGATATGATAAAGCATTCCAACTTGATTCTTGCATTTTCAAAAATTTTCTGAATATATATTATCTATTTTAGAAATCATCACTGGGCTAATATATCAGCAGAAAAACATATCATTTTTCTCTTGGTATATTATGAATTATAGAAAATTTGATATTTGCCTGCCATAATTGGATTGTACTACTCATTTGTAGATATTGAAACCATGAAAATGGTTCATTTTGGAGGTGGGAGGAGAAAGAGGAAAAAAACCAAGTGATTTCTTTAGGCAATCTCTCTCATATTTGATATCTCCCACTGTCTCTCTCTTGCAGAACAGAGAGATTGGAAAGGAAGGGATTACAAGAGAGTAAGTGGCACACAATAGGGAATATACGTATCAAGAAGAATCTGTTTTGCTTCATAATTTAAATGTTAAGTGAATCTGGGTTCCCCACTGACTTTGCTTGTCAGAAGGTTGCAAAAGGTGGTCACATGACCTCAGGACACTGCAGCCATCATAAATGTGAGTTAGTTGTCAAGCATCTGAATGTAAATCACATGACCACAGGGATGCTGCAACAGTCATAAGTGTGAAAAATCATCATAATTCCCTTTTTTCAGTGCCATTGTAACTTTGAACGGTCACTAAACAAACTGTGGTAAGTCAAGGACTACCTATAGAGCAACCTACCTCAATCTGATGCCTTCCAAATGCTTTTGAGCTAAAATTGCAGTTTTATACACCCAAATGACACCAGATAAGAAGGACTACCATACAAATTGGTTTCATTTTTTACTTACCATCTCCCTTTCCCCTAATCATGTTCTTTAAAGGTTATAGTTTTAAAAAGTATAAACTAAAGAAAAATGAAGGTCAGTAAAAAAAAACAACCTATCGTGATTTATACTCATTCTGTGACACATTCTGTAAAAAAAGATATAACTGATATGATCTTAATACATTATTTTCAAGTCTCCATGAATGATTAGTATATTCCAGTTCCTGATACATTATCATTCTGTGTATTTTTTGATTGACCTATAAATAGTTTAGATCTAATAAAAAAGGCAGGAACTACAAATAGTTCAGAATATTTTTATTTGCAAATTACAGAATTTTTCTGCATTTATAGAATGTAGACCTTCATACAATCTAGTTCAGGTTTTCAGAATACTAGAAAAGAGTTTCATAATAAAATCACATATGACTTCCAGTTTGCCATTGCGGCGCCTGTGGATGCATGAAGATGAGCTCCGTTTTCTGCATCCGATTTCATCCCACTGGGGAACCCTGGAAAGGGTCAAAAGTCACCCTGTAGGGGCAATGAGAAAGAAGGAGATTCCCGCTTAATCCCGGGTGGACGGCAGCCCTTCTGTTTGATTCAGGGCAGCTCTCCAAACAAGCAGGGGAAAGACCGGCCATAGCAATACGGCTTATCATTAAGCTGCTGACAGCCGAAGTCAAAATTACTACCAAGCACCTTTAAAGCAACGTGGATGAAACTGGGTGAGATCTGATCTTCTCTTTAAGAGTTTAAATATCTTTTCCTGCAAAAGCTGCCCAAAGTATTTTTCCCCCTGTGAGGAGAGAGGGAAGGGAATCTCTACCCCACCTTCTAAGAACAGCGGCGACTGACTACCCAGGGGAAACAGAGCAATTATAAGAACAACTTTAATCTAATTGGATGCATATACTTTTGAAATTTGTGGACTAAAAGTTTTCCTATTCTTACTGGAGACGTTGGTTTTTATCTAAAAGGAAAATAAATAAACCTTGAAGAACTATTATAAAAATTGGGGCTTAAAAAGTTTTAAATGTCATCGGTGACATCTTGTGGCAAAGTATGGTATTACAACTTGTTATTGACTAAAAGAGACTTGGTTTGAAGCCCAGAATCTAGAAAAAAACTCTCTTGACCTTGACAGATACCACCTGTGAAAAACTCAGCTGTAAAGAAGGAACTAACAAATAATCTCTCTATTATTCTAAATCCCCATAGTTCTGATATGTTTGTCTTCCCTTCCATCTGTTCTTCTTCTTGCTCCTCAAATTTCTTCTGATTTATATAGAAAGTCTTTTCCATTTTCAGTGTTGTCAGACTCTTTTCTGGATTTTCCATTGACTGTATATGTTGGTCAGTTGAATCCTCTATCACAGTATTTAATTGTTCCACTTCTTCTGTTATCTTCTATGTAGTAGATTCTTTAACTGTGATCAAAATTTGGGTTCGTATATCTAGGTTGATATCTTGTTCTTTTCTGTAGCATCTTATTTCATCATAAGTTGAAAGAATGGTTTCATGTATTGCTTTCAACATAAAAAGAATATGTTCCTGGTCTTCATCCATATTCTCTTGATGGTGTGTTAAGATGAGGGATTTAAAGTAAGAAAATGAAAATAATTTTATAATTGGATATAGGACACAGCTGAGCTTCTCATAGCTGGTATTTGTCAAGGTTGAAAAAAGGCTTATCTATAGTCTGGGCTTCAAGCCAAGTCTCCTTTAGACAATAACAAGTTGTAATATTAAACTTGGCCACAAGATGTCACCAATGCTGTTTAAAGTTTTTTAAGTCCAAGTTCTTTATAATCCTTTTTCCAATTTTATTTCTTTTTTGTAAATAAAAACCAAAGTCTTCTGTAAGATAAGAAATCTTTTGGTTCCCAAATTTTAGAAGCATATAAATCCAGTTAGATTAAGGTTATTCTTTCAGTGTTTTAACTCCCTGGATAGTCAGTCACCGCTATTCTTAGAGGGTGGGATAGAAGTTCCCTTCCCCTTCCCTCTCCCTCTCTGCAGCCTAGTAATGAGCCATATTTCTATGGCCGGTCTTTTGTCTGCCGGTTTGGAGGACTGCCCCAGATCGAGCAGAAGGGTTACCATCCTTCCGTGATCAAGCGGGGTCTCCTCCTTGCTTGTCGCCCCTTCAGAGTGATTCTCAACCCTTTCCAGGATCCCCCAGCAGAGCAAAACCAAACACGGAAGACAGAGCTCGCCTTTCAGCATCTGCAGCAGTCGTGATGGCAAATCAGAAGTTTTGTTCATTTTATTTTTACTAGAAAGTGATAGCATATGAACGAGGTTTTTTCAGCTCCCCGATCAGTGGACATAATTCTTTATTCTGTAAAGAACTTATCAGGCCACTATAAACAAATCATGAATGCTGTTTTAAGTTAATGAAACTGCAATGACCAGCATCAAAAAGAAAATTTGGAATTGTTAAAAACATTTCTTTGTTTAACTTTCTTACTCTTCTTCTGGTTTTTAGCATTAAGTTATGGAACCTGTAGGAAAAAATGTATACTTACAAAAATTTCCCATTAGTCTTTGAACCCAGAAGTAGGCGCTGTTCTGAATCCTCCCGAGATATAATCCCATGGAACCAGGGCATTTTCAAGTGTGCAGTTGTAGCAATCAGTTTCTCCAGTTGTGGTTTCTGACTAATAATTGCTTGCTCAAGGGCGTGTCCCTGTATAATTGACAGGAGGTCAAAGTGTAAGAATATAATATAGTTAATTATGGAAGTTGGTATATGAATGGTTTTGACATAAACAGAGAAGTTTACTAAGATTTTAAACTACAAACATTCAGAGTGTAGAACTTTTAGCATAACTTTTAGAGATCATCTGAATGTCTGGCTTGCCCTGAGAGTAATTTACCACGCTGACCCTTTTTTGAGGAGTTGAAAATATGATATTGCTCTCAACCATCAATGGCTCACTCCAAGGGCAGTCTGCCCATTTTTTCTTGTCCAATATCAAAAGTGGTGTTTTCTAACTTCTGCCAGCACAAGCATTACTGTGAAATGTTTGTGATATAAACCCCGGCATAGACAGTGTAAGATCATAATAAATACAAATAAATTTAAAACAACTGAGAAATGAATTATAAAATCATTCAACAAGAATTTTGAAATACATATATAAAGTTGAATATTAGCCAAAGTAAGAGTTAGGTGATTAGATGACAAAGCAGTGAAAAGAACGTTTGCTAGAGAATATGGAGTTTTCAGAGAAACTGAATTAATACTTTGTACCTATATTTGCTATAGAACAGGGGTGTCAAACTGCCGGCCCATGGGCCAAATGCGTCATACTGAAACCACGTCCACCCCAGTTCCAGCAATGGGGGAAAAGTCGCGATACGTCATGACACATCACATGATGTGTCGTGTTTGACACCCCTGCTGTAGAAAATAGAGAGGCATTCTTCAATTTACAGCCATTCATTTATTGATCATTCAAAGTTATGATGGGCTGAAAAAACTGACTTATAGTCAGTCCTCACATTTATGACATTGCAGCACCTCTGTGGTTGCGTGATCAAAATTTGGGCACTTAGCCCTGACATATATTTATATGTCAATTTCCTGTTGTCACATGATCACCGTTTGCAACCTTCATAGGGGGTCTCCATCAAGCAAAATCAGTAGGGGAAGTCGGATTCACTTAACAACTGTGGTGATGCAGTTAATGACTGCAGCAAAAAAAAGTCGTAAAACTTACTTAACAACTGCTTCACTTAGTGATGGTGTTCTGGTCCCAACTGTGGTCATAAGTTGAGAATTACCTATTGGATTGATACCTGAACCAATACTGACTTTCCCAGGATAGAAATTAGGACATCCGAAGCACACTGGATTATCAGAAGATGTTCTAGGACATCCCGAAGATTATACAGAAATGAGTCTATCAAGGGTTAAGAATTTTAGCATGTCCCAAATACCAGCTGCACAGAAACATCAGTGGCACAGGGTATGGCTCCATCTTGTGAGCAGCCCAGAGGCATCTGGTTGGTCACTGTGGTCACTGTGAAAAAGGAAATGCTGAACTAAGATGTACCTTTGTCAGATCCAACAGGAATGTTTTTATGAGAACAAATTTGAAACATGGAAAAAAGTACAATATATCCAAAAGTTTTTTACATTCCGGAGTTCAGTGTTTTAGCAGTTTTTTAAAGTGTTTTAAATGGATATATCCGGAACTCGAATTTTTAGAATAATTATGGATATATATACATATACATACATACATACACACACACAGACAGACACACATCACATACATATACATAGACACAAATACACAAACACACACACACACACACACATACAAACATGAATAAATGTTGCCTAGAAATAACATGGTCAATGTTTCCAAAATAACAAACTGAATTATGCACATATTTAACTAGAAAATTCCAGGTATTCTGAAATCCATTCTCACATTAAGAGAAAAAATGTTGCACCCAGCAACAGTAGTATGTTAATTAGGGAGTATAATAAGCGTGCCATTACAGGTTGTGGTTTTGGTTCATCTCTTTTTTTCTTACTCTTTTACATTCAATGGTGCTTTAATGTTTGTAAACCTTTTAAATTTTTAATATTTCTCCACAAGTATGCCCTAAAATATATGTGCACCACACAAATTCCAAAATTAGGTTCACCTACTTTTGGCACACTTAAATATGTAGATTTGGATCATTTCCCTCAATAAATAAATGAATATGGTGTTTTAACTCATTTGTTTCACTGGGTTCTCTTTATCTAGTTTTAGGATTTGTGCAGAAATCAGATCTCATTTTAGGTCATACTTATGCAGAAATAATGAAAATCCAAAAGGGTTCGGAAACTTTTAAGCATCACTGTATTTCTTATTTATTAAACAAGGATAGCAACATGTCAGGAAGGTATGTGGCAAGCTGACCTATTTTTGCAGTTCACAGAAAATGCTCAGAACAAAATTGCTTAAAGATATGCCAGAGTTTCCCACCATTTCAAAGTGATAAATACATGTATTTATACACTAAGATTGGAATTTCCATTGATAAGCAAAGAGGTTGTTAAGTGAGGCACAGCTGATTTTATGACCTTTTTGCCACGTTGTTAAGTGAATTATTGCAATTGTTAAGCGAATCCTGCAGTCATAAAGAGACTCCAGTTTCCTTCATTGACTTGCTTACTAGAAATTGTTGTTAAGTGAATTATTGCAATTGTTAAGCGAATCCTGCAGTCATTAAGAGACTCCAGTTTCCTTCATTGACTTGCTTACTAGAAATTGTTGGAAAGTTGCAAATGATGATCACATGACCCCGGGAGTCTGCAATTGTTATAAATACAACATGCTGATTGTCAAGCACCTGAATTTTGATCATGTGACTGTAGGATATTGTGACAGACATTAGTGTGACGACTGGTCATAAGTCACCTTTTTCAGTGCTGTTGTAACTTCAAAAGGTTGCTAAATGAATAGTTTTAAGTTGAGGATGTCTACACTGAACAAATGCAGTATGGAAACCAACTCCAATTTCCATCCTAAAACTCCAGAAAAACTAGAAATCCTGGCTTTGTCTATATATATAACATGGTATTGGCTACTTGGCCAACGTATAGCCACTACCTTCCCAAAACCAAAAGAGGAAAAACTACAGAAAAGGAAAAAAAAGAACCTTACATATAAATTCCAGGTTTGTTTAACGTATTCTTTGATTAGATTTTCCTTTAAGTCCTCAAACTGACTTGTTTTGGGTTCTACTCCTGGCGGCCGATTATATGGTTTCCTGAGTAAACACATGAGACCATCAATTTCATCTGAGTGGTAGTCAATGAGTTCTACAGGACTCCGGTGGGATTTTCCTCCAGTAATAGCATAAGTGCCATTAATTTCCCTCTCAATGGTGTAATGATAAACCTTTCCATTATATGCCAGAGACAAAGCAAAACCACCCAGATAGTTTCGGCTCTGTCGCAGTAAATACAGTCCGTTGTTTAGTCCTCCTTGCAGCAGATAATCTTCAGCTTCTTCACGTGTGATGTTGCCAAAAAAATAGGGCAGGTAGCTAATAGAATCAGAACCTGCCATTTTTTTTCCACTACTTCTCTTTGCTTGTTTGCTTTTGAGGCTATATTACACCTAGAAAGAATAATAATAATAAAAAAGTTAATGACACTTTTGTATGAATGTATGTTATTTTGTATGCTACCTTGATGATCTTATTGAAACCAGGAGATGGAAATATACACAATGAGATCATGAGCTAAGAGGTAATCAATGAATCATAATCATAAACCATAGGGAAACAATATTTTTGCTGCCAACAATATCCTCATAATGCATTTGTACAGGAGTATGCAATGCAATGCAGAAAATAAACACAAAAGAGAAAGTATTCTGTGGCTTCTGAAATGCCTTCTAACCCTTTAATAATATCTTTATTCTTGGTCGAAAGAGGGAAGGGACTTAGAATAGAGCAAGCACCCACACAAGAGCAAAAACAAATTCCAGCAATTTAAGGATAATCTGCCAAGAAGCTGCTAATCTAATACCATACATCAATCCTTAGGTGAATACAACAGAAATATGGTATGCCTTTTTAATTAAAAGCTATATGCAATCTCTTCAAGTAGAATAGATGACCAGTTAGCAATTTTCTACTAAAGTCCAGCTGGGTTTATTTCATTCTCCTCAAAAAAAATTACCTATAGATTTTGAAAGTATATAGAGGTGTATATATATATAGAGAGAAAATATGCAACACGACAATATTCTTCAGCAAATAATTGCATTTCAATTGAAAGTAAATATGATTAAATTAAATAATATTCTTGCATTAAATAATATCTTATCTTGCACAAGCTAAATGATTAATTATTAATAAAAAATAATAGATTTTTTTAAAATTATTGGGAATTTTAAGCATATTTATTATAAGTTTGTATCAATCAAATTACCAAATTAAGAAAGTCAGTTAGATTTTTTTCAAAGAAAGAAATCTCTATTTTTTTTAAAAAAAATTAAAATAAAAACTTAGAAAGAAAAAAGTGTCTTCTGTAAAAAATCAGAAGTATTTAGTATTTTAGTGACTGAAGAGTTAGGATTATAGTTACAGTTAGCAAAATATGTCAACCGGTAAAATAACAGAAAAATCCTCTGAGAATTTTAATAGCCCATCTGCCTACATCTATTTTTATAAATAATTTGTTAGTGCTAGCAAACCAACACTACATGAAAAAAAACCAACACTTTTCCAAACGTGTTAGCTACATTTCATTCTCCTGAAGATAATATTTAATAGTGAAAATAAAATGCTATTTATGAAGTTTACAATACTGTAGAGGAGAGGAAGAAGTGGCTCTGAACTTAGCGTACCAAACATCTAAATGTATAAAGCAGAATGCAGAGAGAGAGGGTGGGGAGAAACATTCATTCCATAACAGATGGCTGTCCAGGCTCTGCTTGAACACATCCTGTGAAAATCAGCTGATTTTCTGTCTAAGAAAACTCATGGTTTCCTGGTTTCTAGCTGGGTCCCTTAATTGGTTCTCATAGAATGATCACAAAGGTCATCAAATGACAGATCTGTCATATTCAGATTATCATATCATATCAGATTATAAACGTGCAAAAGGATTTAAATGATTGGAAAAAATTACAATTATCTTTGTTGGGGAGAATTTCAGCTGTTAAAATGAACGTTCTACCAAAGTTTCTTTTCTTGTTTCAAATGATACCCATTTTGAAAAAAGACACTAATTTGGACGAATGGCAGAAGGGTATCAATAAATTCATCTGGGCAGGGAAAAAAACCAAGAGTAAAGTTTAAAATTTTACAAGATGCTCGGGAAAGAGGAGGGCTTAAGGCGCCTAACTTGAAATTAAATTATGATGCGGCGGCCCTAACAGCGATTAGTGACTAGGTTAACTTAACAAATAAAAATATACTATCTCTTGAGGGATGGGACTTATTATATGGATGGCACGCATATTTGATTTATAATAAAAAAGTAGATCAGGCTTTCAAATCCCATATCTTAAGAAGTGCCTTATTGCGTGTCTGGAAGAAGTATTATTATAGGTTAAATTATAAAATACCAATTTGGGGGATTCCTGGACACGCAATAGAAGGGGTATCTAGGGGTGTGAATTTGGATAGGATCTCTTATAAGCAATTACTTCGATTGGTAGGGAGTGATTGGCAATTAAAATCTTTAGTTGAGCTAAAGCAGGATTAGCTTTAGTCTTGTTATGCATTGCTTTATTGCTCTGAAATCTCTCACATGTTTTGGTCTGAAAAATCCATATGTTTCCTTCAGAAATATTCCCATGGAATTGATGAAACATAAAAATAAAAGAGGACACAGAGAGAAATCTACAAATACTTCTGCCCCATAATTACTTGCAAAACCCTGGCATTCTACCAATATGAATGTCACCAAAAAATTACACTAATTAAAAAAAAGTTAAGCAAATCAATCAAATTGAAAGACAATGTTAAAAAAAATAGAAAAGATTTTGACACAGAATTACTATGCAGCATATATATGTATGCAGATGCACAACAACAACAATAATAATCCAGAAATACTTTGCAACTTTAAATTAAAAGCTGTTCATTAGTTGGATGATTTTTCTATCTATTTTTGCTGACACACGAGGACAAAACTGAGGACAAAAACCACCTACACCCCTAGAACTGAGACTATGGATAAATTGCACACATAAGTAATTCTCAAGCACAGCATTTCTAACTATCTGTATGATGGAAAATTAAAATTACTGAATTTAAAGATTATAGAGTCTCCAGATGGCAGGGTAAATTGAGGAAGGAGCAATGTTTATTTCTTTTTTAACTCTTGTCTAAACAAATATCTTCTGAATACTTCCCTTTTGGCTGGTTTCATTTTGGGTTAATACCTTAACTGGAATAGATTAGAAACTAGTTTGGGGAAGGTTCTTCAGTGCTTCTTAGGCCTCTCTCAACATAATGTCCAACACCCCTTCCTATTGGTCTCAGCAAGTTTCATATGGGCTCACAGGGGAATTTCCAAGATTGAATTTCTTTGTAATAGGGTACTCTCTTTCCATCCCTAAAGGCAAAAAACTAAAAAAAAAACTTCTATGCTTCGGTGATATCTTCAGAAGTTTTTAACATAAACCTTCTTAAACATAACTAAAAGTATTATGACTGTTGAAAACCTTGAGGAAAGATAGTACAGTCTAAAATTTGCTTTACAGTATTGTCTTGCTTGCAGATTCCCGTTACATGATACAGTACTTCTATTTAAAGCTCAGCCACAATGGAGTAGAGATACTGTGTATGTGATTCAGACCTATGCTGCTGGCTTAGTCTAGTGAAGGAGATAAATGTCTTATTGTCTTGTCTAACAACCTACTGGCCTTTGGACCCCCTCAAAACAGTGGCATCAGATACCTAATTACAAATTGGTATCACACAGCAGAGATAGAGAGGTCTGTTAGTTTTGAGTTCTTCTTCACTAGTCTTTTTATCTCAGATTTGGTCCCTCCCATATGTAATTAAATCAGTAATTTTTGCTAACTTTTTACTGAAAGATTTACACTAAATAAAATGTTCTCTCATCCCTATGTATTCTTATATTTGTCTTGAAAATAGCCAAACACAAAATGAGTGAATATTAATAGGGTAATTTGGAATTGGCTAGATAAGGAGGCTTGTCACATGACCATGACTTGTATCCTGAAAAACATTGATTGGGGTCTAAAACTCAGGCCTCACAGAAAAATGGAGGGTGACTCTTATATCCCATTAGCAAAATTAGGTCTGCAGTATAAAGAGTTTTTAATTGTCTGTCTATACCAGGGGTGAGGAACTATGGTCCCTTTATGACTTGAAGATTTCAACTCCTAGAATTCCTGAGTAAGCCACACTGGCTCAGAAATTCTGGGAGCTGAAGTCCCCAGGTCATAACAGGGCCATAGTTCCTCATCCCTGGTCTACACCATCATCATGCTTCTTAATCATCTCATATTGTGATATTGAACCAATTTATATTCTTGCTAGGACAAGCCACTATAGTTCATAAACTATACTTTAAACATGTTCCTAATACATGGGGAAATTTAAACAAAGATGGTTACTGTCACATTATTTAACCTGCTTTGATCTATGTTACAAAAAAGCTAGCTCAAAATCCTATTAACATTACGGTATTTAAGTATGATCTGTATAATTGAAGATAGTTCAAATGTCAGAAACTATTACAAACAATAAGAAAATATGATAATTCAATAGGTAAAATTAAAGTCTTCATGATTTTTACTTTTTACATTTTAACAATATGTATTCTCTGAATACAAATAATTGGATATTCAAGACTTTGAAGTATTTTTGCTATTGTATCACAATAAACATTGTAACAGTTATCTTTCTCCTTGTAGCATAAATATAATAATAAGAAAAAATAATAGGCAAAAATACATAAAGTAAATAGGACATTAGTTTTACAATAGATAAAAGCATGAGATCTGGAATAGAATTTGATACTAATTTATTCTATGCGTATTTAGTCAATATGATTATTTTAAATACTATGCTTTTTGCTAGATTTTGATTTTATTATCTCTATGAATATAGAGATAATACTCCCTCCTTATTATAACTGTATATATATTTAATCAGTCAGCTTGACTTATTCCCAGAATTATTGGATTCAAATGTTGTTATATTTAGAAAGATTACCTAACATCAATAAGACTAAATAATAATTCAAAAGTGTCATCTCATTTATTTCAGTAGGTTTATTCTGTGCATAACTAAATATGGATTCTCCCAATTGAAAAAGATATAATTATGACAATTATTTTCTTTTAATCTTTTCTTAAGAAAGATATGCTCTGCTAAGATAATGATTTGAATTTGAGGTAAACCTTTATAAAGCTTAAGTTTTATAGAGAAGAATTACTATTCAAGAGCTTTCTCTAGAATGTAAAAACAATTACTATGGTAAAACCAACTTTTTATCACCTTTTACTGAAAAAGTTATAGATACCTGTTTTGAGTTCCATTATTGGGTCTCAATATATCTGCATACAGTATTGGTTATCAAGCACAAAGCCAGCTGGTTGACCTTGGGCCAGTCACACACTCTCTCTCTCAGCCTTGCAACCACTTGCAAAGATGGTAGCAAGAAAACTGCAGGGACTTGTCCAGGCTTTTGCCAGGAGCCAAGACTGACTGAAAAGCATACAGCTGCATACACACCCAATATTTTCATATACTAAGATTAGATAGTCTTACAAAATTCAGTAAAGTTAGTCTGAAGGGAAAAAATGTACATATCTGTAGTTTTGCAGGAAAATTTTATGTGTCAACAGGGTTAAGTGAATTTAAATACATAATGTTTAAAGGATATATTAAGGGTTGGAAAAGAATTTCCCATAACATTTTTATTATGTGGGCTGAGTAATCCAAATCTTTGCATGTAATAAAAAACCCTGGTTATTTATGGTCTGCATTCATGTTGTCTGCTTACCTATGGTACAGCAGGGTTATTTTGAATTTCTTTCTCACACTTCCCATTTTCTCAGGACTATTATAATTTTTACCCCCTTAATGGTTCAATCAGCCTTTTCCCAAGATAACCTCTACAATCCATTACACTTGCAAGTGATTGCAATGCTGAGAGAGAGAGAGTGAGAAAGGTGAGCAACCTGCGGTGTTACTACTAAATCTGATTTATGGATGAATCATCTCTTCCTATTTGTGCTGTATCTATCTATCTATCTATCCCATTCTGCCCAGGAGAGACATGCTCCAGGTCTCATCTACTAAGGTGTACCATCTGTTCAGGCCCAGGAAGAGAACTTTTTTATTGTGGCACCTGCCCTTTGGAATATCATCTGCTCCCAGAGAGTAGATTGCAAGCGTTTGAAGATATGGCTTTGCTTCTGGACTTGGAGATTTAGATGTATGGCAGAACCTGCCAATGGCATACTGAATTTTGCTGAAGTGTTCCTGGAACCCTACTGTTGATTTTATTTAATAATTTTAATTCATAAAATATGTTTATATATGGTTTTATACTGTATTTTTATTCCTTTTAGTTCTGTTTTTTTCACTGTTTTGAGCTCCCAAAATTTATATATTTGAGATGGGCAACCCTATGAATCGATAAATGGCCAACCACAGAGTTAGTGCCTCTATCCAGCCATGGAGCTCTGAATTTTTATTTCCCCTTCATCTATTCAAGAGGGCAGAAACCCAGTTCTTTTTTTCCCCCATGGACAAAAGGATACTGCATTGACTTGAAATGTGTTGCACAAGGTTAATACTATTAGTAACATCCACAAAACCAGCCACCACATCCCACCCTAATGTTCTTCCTCCTATCCTCCCTTACCATATCTACTTCATTCTTCTCCTTAGCTGCCTACCCTTCTCCCATCCTGACCAAATACAGATCCTTTGCCTTTTCTGCTTCTTGGAAAGGACTATCACTGTTCTCAACTGCAGCAGCTAAACTGAAAAATTTGCAACCTTTGTTTAGGTCCACTGGTGATATGCTGTCTACCAATTGCAGAGGAAAGGGGCAGCTTACAGGAAAGGGAGAAGAATTGGATTTGTTGGGGGGGGGGGCAGACAGAGAATCTCTCTTTACTCACTTCTCTTATGGCAGCAGCAGGGATCTAATACCCCAAGTGGCAACTCTATCTTGAATCCTATTTTAACAGGGCCTACAGATCTCTGAGATATTCAAAAGTGAAATTAACCTCCAACTTAGCCTACCAGTTTCACACCTTCAGAATTTATCAGCAGCACCCATTGGATGTCATCAGGGTGTTTCTAAGGGGATAGAATAAGAAAAAAAAGCAAAAACTCCAAAGACACTATTCTTAAGTTAACAGCGATATACACACACTGCAATAGAAATGGAAAGTTTGTCTTAAGATAATACCAGAGCTAGTCTGGTGTAGTGTTTAAGGCATCAGGCTGGAAACCAGGAATTCTAATCCTGCTTTGGGTCCTAGGAAGGAGGCAATGGCAAAGAAAAATGCTGGGCAGTTGCCAGGAGTCAACAATGGCTCACAGGCATAACACATCCAATACATATCCTAAGAAGTTAAAGCTACAACTCTTAAAAAAAATTAAGTTAAAAACTAAGTTAAAAACTAATCAAGCATGAGGCAGAAAGCAAATGAAACCTGAGAATCTTGCTCATAAAGTATTTATCTTAACTTCCAATCCCATTTCATGTTTCTCCTCCTGCAGGGAGATGTTCTATTATCAATATCTCTGTACTCATTATTCTGATTCCTAGTTTCCCCTGCCATCTGCATCAAGCCACCCGATTTCTGCACTTATTGTCAAGCAGCTTCTTTTACTTCCCTATCTTGTGTAGCCCATAACATTTTTTCTTTCTTTTTCTTTTGAAGCACAACTTCAAAAAGATTCATCCGCCAAACAGATAAAATGACGCCTGCAAGGCAACTTTTGTCAGATTGATCTGTGTGCTAATATAATGAGACAAGATGAAAAGCACAACACGAAATTGTGCTTGATTTTTTTTAAAAAAACCAACTACTTCCACTTGTAGTCTGTATATTATGAAATCCTTCACAAAGAAAAGCGATTTGGAGTCAACTTCAGGAGCAATGCAGCTTTCACTTCGGCTTTGTCAATGCTTGTAATTCTTCATTAAAACTACTATGTTTATCGGTGCATCCAGGTAACTATTATCCGTAACTATTCCATAGACATACGTCCGCCTGTCACAACCTAGTGAAACTCCAGTTGCGTTGGACCACAACAACCAACCACTTTGAGAGAGAAGGCGAGAACTGTTAATCTAAGGCAGGGGTCTCCAACCTTGGCAACTTTTAAGACTTGTGGACTTCAACTCCCAGAATTCCTCAGCCAGCTTTGCTGGCTGAGGAATTCTGGGATTGAAGTCCACAAGTCTTAAAAGTTGCCAAGGTTGAGGACCCCTCATGTAAGGCAGCCGCGATTCTTCAAGGAGTTCCCACCGACGAACCTGCTTTCTTTTCATCCTCCTCTTCCACACAGGACACGCCCCTCTCCCCGAAATGACTCATCCCCTGCCTTGTTTCTGCAAAGCTCGACCTCGCATCCCCACCTCCCGCCTTCCAAGCGACCTGTTGTTATTTCTTGGCTTGGAGGTTATTGTCCTCCAGTCACTCTTGTCTCCTCAAACTTTAAAAGAAGTATGGAAGCCTTAACTCGAACCTAGGATTTCCTCCTCCGCCTCCTCCTCCTCCCGCAGTTACCCAACTCCAAATCCGGGCTGACAGAAACCTAGAAGCCCCCTTTTGTCACCCCTCCCTCTCTCGAAATTCGGGAAGGAACGCCTCTTACCTGAGAAACCAATGGGTGGAGGGAACCTCCGGTTAGGGGGGGGGTCTCTCTTCTCCAGCCCCTGCCTTTGCAAAGGCGGGAAGGAATATGAGGTGAGACGCGCTTCCTAGGGAAATCCTCGTCAGTTTGCGCGTTCAGCGTCTCGGCGGCAAGGCTTCGCCTTCCGCCCTACCGGTACCTCAGCGCCAGCTCCCAAATCGACGCGCTTCTTCCAGACGTCTCGGCTCTTTTCTGCTCACGCCTGCTGGGCGCCTCTGCTGAAGCGCCGGTCGGTTCAGGATGAGTGAAGCGCTCGCTTCCTCATTTTCTCCTTTGCAGCCCCAACTATTTCCTCAGCGCGGAGGCTCAGCTGAGTAACACTTCCTCGTCGGACGAAGACGCATCTGTCTTCATTTGTTTAAGAGCCTCTCAGGCCGATTAGGGAAGGAGCAAAAAAAAAAAAAAAAAAAGCCCGGTTTGGGCGAGTAACCTGTTCCAATCAGACAACGGGCGCTTCCAGGACTTCCGCGGGAACGGGGCACCTTTCAAACGTCCAGCTTCACCAGCAAGTCTGGCAGAAAAGTTTGGGGAATTAACACTGGCTGTCACAGTCCACCGCCTGCTGCTAAGTCTTGTGACCCGCAAGACCTTGGCTTATGTTTAACATTTTCCAGAGGGATAGCTGTGTTAATCTGCAGCTGCAAAAAAAAAAAAAAAAAAAAGCAGATTGACTGTGCATATCTTTAACACCGATGTGATTTGGCATGGACTTTGTGGAATTACTTCCACTTGTTTTATTACGTTTATTAACTCGATAATAAACTTGAGCATTCTATTCAGTAGACCCTTAAACTGAAAACAAGATGCCTAAAACCACAAATAAGGGGATACTTGATAAAATTTGTTTTATTTCATTTCTAAAATTGCCTGCTATGTTGACTCTGAAGAAAAAAAAAATCTGACATGAGAAGTGATCTAACAGGAAAGCTAACTCTCCTTTGTTCTCTTCTTCAATATAGCTTGGAACCTGGAAGAAGATATCTAGGGGAGGCTTCTGTCCCAATTTGCAGGATGTAACAAAGCAAGAAAAAGCACTATCTTGCTTATTCTCTCAGAGCAGATTGTCAGATTGGTAACCTGAGACTTGAGCACAACAGTTCATCTTACTCCATGGGGGTTAGAAAATTGGTCAACAGATGAGAAACCAACTCATTCTCTCACTTGCTATTCTTCCCATGGCATCCTGATGAGAACTGAGCCAAAGTAGCCCATATTTACATATCAACCAATGAGAGAATTGAAATAGGAAGTGCAAAAAGGCAGACTTTTGTAAAGGAGAAAACAGGTGAACAACAACCATTGTTTCTTGGAGGAAAGAAAAAGTACAACATGGAGGCAGCTACTGCTTCCTTTCACTTTCTTTGGGAGTATGGATGGAGTGGATAAGTGTGCTAAAGAAGAGAGAACAATTATTGCCCTCGGTTCTTATTGAGCCTTTGCACTTTTCCAAGGCCTGAGAAAGAATATAATAATGACTCTTTTGCTACTCATAATTTTTCCTTTGATTATTCAACAGGCAAGTTCAGCATGGAACAGCCTTCTTATCTGCAGACCTGGATTTTTCCTCCAGGCAATACACTGGTGTGCCAAATTTTGCCATTCAGAAAAATGGGAGGAGCAAGAGAAACACCTTTTGTTTCTGTGCTTTTGTTAATCCTCTCCAAAAATCAGGCAACAGGTATAGTCTGTCTGCTAAACATCACTATTGGGTAGAGGAGATCATAGATCAGTGCACTTTGTACATTTATTTATATATAGTAACACATTTCTTAGACATAGTTAGCTATTATCTTGAAAGAGAATCATCTATATCAGGTTGCTTATGTTTATGTTAAATGAGCACAGGGAGGGGGAAAATATCAATGCTTTTGAAAAAAAAAAGTCCTTAGCCTTTACAAGTAGTCCTCAACTTACAACTATTCATTTACTGACTATTCAGAGTTACAACAGTGAAAAAAGTGACTTATAACCATTTTTCACTCTCATGACGTTGCAGTATCCCCATGGTCATGTGATCAAAATTTTTGGATGCTTGTCAATTGGTCTGGATTTGATGGTTGCAGTGTCCCAGAGTCATGTGATCCCCTTTTCTGACAAGCAAAGTTAATGGAGAAGCCAGATTCACTTAACAATCTTGTTACTAATTTAACTGCATTTATTCACTTAACACCTGTACAAGAAATATCATAAAATGGGGCAAAACTCACTTTACAATTGTCCTGCTTAGTGGAAATTTTGTCATAAGTCAAGGACTACCTGTGTTGTTTCTATTTGACACTCCATTCCATATATTCTAATTAACAAATACAGCAGTATCGTAGTACATTGAAAACTTTATACTGTACTTCTTTTGAAATTGTGTTTAGGAACATTTTTTTTAAAAAAATTGCCTGCAGTGAATTCCCAGAATGCCATGACATTCGCAGCCACTCCTATGCAAAGGTATGAATGGGAAAAAAGTTAAGAGTAAGTTATGCAAGACTCGATGTCTATCATTTCAAAATTTCTCAACCAGCTGGTTAAGTCAGTTTCTTTCTTTCAGATATTATATAGTATTAATAGTAATAGTAGAAATAATGATAATAAATGTATTGGAAATAAGTAGAAGAACACACTGCTTTTATTGTTTCATGTCTCTGGAGTGAAAAAAGTTCCAGATGTTAAACAGTTAAGTTAAATTCAGTAAAGGTATTAGCCTTTATGTAGAATAAATTGTCATAAAATAAGTATTTAGATTCTTCTGTGTTACTCAGAGATTTCGTTGATAGTACATTGATGATTCCTCTCTGTAGTTCTCTGTAGATGAAAATCTCATGCTGTTGAAATGATTTCTTCAATATGCATAGACTACAGTATTGCCTTTGTTGACATTTGGATCCCATTTGCTATTACACCATTTAGCTCTGTGTTTCTTCAAGTATTTCAAAATAAGCTTAAAGATACAATTCTGCTAAAATTTCCTTAGGTAGAATTCAATAGTCACAGTACTAAAATAGATCATTTGGATCTTCTCCAACAGATGTTGCCAATTTTCTGTAACAAGGGATTCTAGAATGTCTTTGCCAAATATGTCATCCATTTCCTTGTAACTTGAAAGAGAGAGCTACTCTAGTAGTAAAGATGCCTATAGATTTTGTAATGAATAATCAGGAATGAGTATGTAAGGGACAAAATTTAATTTGAATTAAGATGTATAATTTTTGCTCCTTGGGTATTTTTGTGGTTTTCTCTACTTAAGTGTTTGCTTTAATTAGGGATAGTTTAATCTTAATCTCACTCGGTTCTCCTTTTAGCGGAATTGGAAGGCAGCAATTGTCTCAATACTTACAGACAGAGAAAACATTTATCAGCATACAAACATCTTGGTGAGAAATGATGATATTTTTTAAAAAGTGGATGCCTGTCCTGCACCCCTTCCTCCCACAAAGATGAAGGTGCTTTTAAAAAAAATCTGTTCTCTGCTTAATATGCATTTCTTTCACTGAATTCTTCATCTTGCTTCTTATATGTCTTGCTTCCTCCTCTTTCCAAAATTAGCTTTTGCTATTTCTGTATTTTCAGATTAATATTAATAACTACTTCTCCCAAAGTTCCTAAGCTGTAAACCTTTTGAGACTTAAATTGAAATGGACATTTCTTCCCTCAGTTATGTCAGCCTGATCTCGCCTCCAGTGCAGAATATTAACTCCTTTATTAGAGAGAGAGAAAGGGGGAGAAATCCCTGGGAAGTTTTTCCTTGCAGGCCCCAGTATTTGTGGTAGGGCATGTCACCAAAGTCCAATCATTTAGAAGCATATCCTCCTTCAGGTCCAGTCTCAAATTTGCAATTTTTGTCTAGAAGTGCTCCTTCTCTCTCTCTCTCTCTCTCTCTCTCTCTCTCTCCCTCCCTCTCTCCCTCCCTCCCTCCCTCCCCCCTTCTCTCCTCTACTGAAGCCCAAGTCAGTTAAGAATGCGTGGAACACTCACTTCCTCATTTCTTTTTGCAGCCCTTATTGTTTCTTCTGTGCCAAGGTTCAGCTGAACAACACTTCAGCCTTTTCTGCATTGCAGCCTTAAACTGCTCGACCTTTCACGTATACATTGGTTGGAAATTAAACTGGTTTAAGACATTCTTTTCTAAGTTCTAACCCTTTTCTTTTCTTTGGCCATGATGATGCATGGCATGGTGAAGTGTCTGAATCAAGACAATTTTCTAAAATGGTCTCAAGGATAATTGTTTTTCTACTTACCAAAGACATGCAAAGTGCCACATAGAAACTAAGAAAAAAGCTTCTTGCCTAAACTTGTATGAACAAGCCTTCTGCCTTTTAGTGCAAATATATAAAGGACAGACTTCACAGGCAATATATATTTATGCTGTGCGGACTGGAAGATGTTGCATGAGCACAAATGGAGAAGGAATCTGCAGCAGAACAACCAGCAAGGGCAGGCAGAATCAGAACAGATGGGTCTGGTGGCAAAAAAAAATTCACAGCTGGGAGGGACAGATCAGATGTCAGTGAGGCTAGATAATAATGGAGTTCCTAAACAGTTTGGAAAAGAACTGTTTAGGAACTCCATTTCAACTTTCTATGTTAAAAGTAAGTGGAGAAGTATAAGTACAAAAGCTGCTAACAAAATGAGCATATCAGCTTGTGATTAGAGTGCTGGGTGATCAGGAACTGAAGGAACAAGATAGTGAAGAGACAGCTAAAGAGTGTATAGTTTGGTAAGCTAAGACCACTCTATCTTCATTGGCAATAAGCAGAGATTATTTATCTAAAACACTATAACAGTAAATATCCCTTTAATTTAAATAAAAACAGCATGTACGTGTATCTGGAGAGTTTCCAGCTTCCAGTATGATGTTTACCACAGGCTCCTGAGTGTGGATTCTGCTGTTGATTTATGTATTCCATCTGTAATGGGAAAGCAAGCACCTGTCACTTTTTTTCATGGGGATGCAGTGGACAGTATGTGGTTTCTACTGATAGAGTTTTTGTGTGAGCCCCCTCCTCATACTTGACTTCATCCTACCTGGTGCATCCAGAGGAAACATTTTTTTTTAAAAAAAAGGAAAGGAAAAAGAACCTAACATTTCTCTGTTCTACCAATGAATCTGACAAAGAGGAAGAAAAGTATTATGATAGTCAAGGTCCCTTCAGAAGGGGGCAGCAACTCAACTGTCCAGGATAGCCTGGCTATGGAGAGCAGTACCACTGAACTGAAGAGGAGAGAATATTTCTCCCCCAGTTCTCAGTGGCCAAATAGAATGGGGAGGTATTGTTTACAATGAAGATGGTGGCTTCATTGTAAGAATGATGCATACCAGGGAAAGATGTATGGAGGTCTCATGAGTCCCATCTTGTACTAAACTCTATGTAACTCACAACTAAAAATAAAACAACATCTATTTACCAACAAAAGTATTAAAACCAAAAGACCTCACACCCTAGAAAAACAGTGGCAGAATGTGGTTCAGTCGTAGGAGGATCGGGGGTCTTTACCAAAGAGTTAAGAAGCAGATTAGCCTGGAATCTTTGGTATGCAGGCGGAGAGCCAGGGTGGATCCTCTCTAACCCTTCATGGGGTATATCTAATAGGCAAAGCTGTGCTTTTGTTTGGAAAGATTCCCATTTATAGACAAGAAACAATAAAGAAACTACTCTTGGTATCATACTTGGTTCCCTTGTGCCTG